TATAATATAGATTATATATAAGATTATATATATATATACAGGTATAGATTATATATATAAAAGAAGAAGATGAAGGAATGTTGGAGGAAGTCGTGGAATTGCAACGTGCAGTCTCTGGTTTTCCTCCTTTGGGATGCCAATATGCCACAACCATTTTAGCTCTAAACTGCAGAACTCCAAAATTAAAGATTGAATAAATTGAATACAAAATCATGGAAGCCTTTTAGGTCTTCCAGTTAACGCCGTGAATTCACTTTAATGTAATCACGGGTAGTTACTGGGCACCCGTAAGGCCAGAAATGAAGCTGAATTACATACTTATAGTACCCTTCAGAGGTAGCTAGAATTGTAAGATGCCTCTCTTTAAGTATACATGTTGGAAGGTAACCATTGAAATACAGATTGATCACAGCCAGAACACAGGAGGTGGTCCCATATTGTTTGAAGACTTCTCTTCAGGATAAATCCCTCTTTGTGAAAGTGTGTATATAAATATGGAAGTACATGTGTGTATATACATATGTAAGTACCTATGCGTATATATACAATCATTTGTCACTTAATGACAAGGATGCAGTCAAGGAAATACAGCCTTAGGTGATTTCGTTGTGTGAACATCGTAGAGTGCACTTATACAAACCTAGATGGTAGAGCCTGTTGCTCCTAGGCTACAAACCTCTACAGCCTGTTACCGTACTGAATACTGTAGGCAATTGTAACACAGTGGTAAGTTTTTATGTATGTAACATAGTAGAAAAAGGATAGTAAAAATACATATAAAAGATAATAAATGGTATACCTTTATAGGGTACTTACTGTGAATGGAGCTTGCAGAACTGAAAGTTGCTCTGGGTGAGCAGTGAGTGAGTGATAAGTGGATATGAAGGCCTAGGACATTATCGTACACTACTGTAGACTTTATAAACACTGTACAATTAGGCTAAACTAAATTTATTGTAAAAATTGTCCTGTCTTTAATAACAAATTAACTTTAGTTTACTATATATAAACTTTATTAACTTTAACTTTTTAAAACTTTTTGACTCTTTTGTAATACCATTTAGCTTAAATACAAACACTTTGTACAACTGTACAAATATATATATATTCTATATATATATATGTATTTTTTTTTTTTTGAGACAGCTTTTGAGACGGTCTGGCTCTGTTGACCAGGCTGGAGTGCAGTGGCATGATCTCCGCTCACTGCCACCTGCATCTCCTGGGTTCAAGCAATTCTCATGCCTCAGCCTCTGGAGTAGCTGGGATTACAGTCGTGTGCCACTAGGCCTGGCTAATTTTTTTGTATTTTTAGTAGAGACAGGGTTTCGCTATGTTGACCAGGTTAGTCTCAAACTCCTGTCTGCCAGTGATCCATCTGCCTCAGCCTCCCAAAGTGCTGGAATTATAGGTGTGAACCAATGCGCTGGCCACAAAAATATTTTTTCTTTATGTCCTTATTTTATAAATGTTTTCTATTTTAATTTTCGTTTGTTTTTACGTTTTAAACTTTTTTTTTTTTTTTAACAACTAAGAAACACACACACATTAGCGTAGGCCTACACAGGGTCAGGATCATCAATATCACTGTCATCCACCTCCACATCCTGTCCCACTGGAAAGTCTTCCGGGGCAGTAATACACATGGAGCTGTCAACTCCTATGATAACAATGCCTTCTTCTGGATACCTCCTGAAGGACCTGCCTGAGGCTGTTTTATAATTAACTTTTTTTAGGGGGAGCCTGAGGCAGGCGATCACCTGAGGTCAGGAGTTCAAGACCAGTCTGGCCAATGTGGCAAAACTCCGTCTCTATAAAAATACAAAAATTAGTCAGGTGTGGTGGCTCACGCCTGTAATCCTAGCTACTCGGGAAGCTGAGGCAGGAGAATCACTTGAACCTGGGAGGCGGAAGTTGCAGTGAGCCGAGATCACGCCATTGCACTCTAGCTTGGGCGACGGAGCGAGACTGTCTCAAAAAAAAAAAAAAAGAATGAAAGAAAATTAACTTTTTTTTTTTAATAAGTAGAAGTACGCTCTAAAATAATGATAAAAATATAGTAAGTACAGTAAGTTCTATGTAAACAATATACTATAAAAAGTATAGTATATACTAGGCAGTTGGAATTTTTCAGCTCCATTATAATCTAATGGGACCACTGTCACATATGTAGTCTGTCACTGACTGAAACATTATTAAGTGGTGCATGACTGATTATAATAATTTTTAAGCCTCAGAATGCCAGGACTCAGTATAATAAATTTTATCATAAAAGAAATATGAGAATTATAACCTTGCTGCTACAAACTACCAGTTTGATGACATTGAGAGGAAATCTTCTCAGGACTGATAATAAAATGTACTCATGTATCTCTAACTGGGCATCTTCTATACAACTTTTTTTTTTTTTTTTTTTTTGTTAAACAGAGTGTCGTTCTTGCCCAGGCTGCAGTGCAATGGCATGATCATGTCTCACTGCAGCCTTGACCCCCCCGGGCTCAAGTGATCCTCCTACCTCAGCCTCCTGAGTAGCTGGGACCACAGGTCTGCACCCCCATGCCTGGCTCATTTTTATTTTTATTTTGTAGAGACAGGAGTCTCCCTGTGTTGCTCAGGCTCAAATCTTTTAATTAAAGTACTATAGGGAGGAGGCCTTCTCTTTTTTCTGGTACCCCATGTCTCACCTAAGACCTTGTAGATAGGATTCATTTTCCATAAGGGCTCTGAGACTCTGGAACTTACTCTTCTTGGAGATCTGACATTACTCTGAGGATACTGGTACCTAGAGTACACCATGGATATTTTAATTTTGCTAAGACCTTCAGTAGACAAATGTACTGTGTAGCTCTCAAATGGTGTAAGGCTGGGAATTTTAAAATATATATTAATATGCATAATAAAATTGATTAAAAATTAATCATTTAAGATATAATTTTTTATTTTGCTTCACGGAAGAATTCATGTTTCTTTATCTTCTTATTCTAGTCCTAAAGAATATTCTTACATATAATAAAGAATTCCCATTTGATGTTCAGCCTGTCCCATTAAGGTAAAAGAAACATTTATATTTGTTTTCTTATTTTATTTTTTACCTCTTTTTCAGATATTTCTGGGTTTTCTTAAATATCAACTTTAGTATTATTGATATCATTGACATCAACAGTGATAACAGTATATCAGCATTTTATTTTATTTTGTTTTATTTTATTTTATTTTATTTTATTTTATTTTATTTTATTTTATTTTATTTTAGAGATGGAGTCTTGCTTTGTCGGCCAGGCTGGCGTGCAATGGTGCTATCTTGGCTTACTGCAACCTCCGCCTCCGGGTTCAAGCAATTCTTCTGCCTCAGCCTCCCAAGGAACTGGGATTACAGGTGCACGGTGCCATGGCCAGCTAATGTTTTTGTATTTTAGTAGAGACGGGATTTCACCGTGTTGCCCAGGCTGGTCTCGAACTCCTGAGCTCAGGCAATCCACCCACCTCGGCCTCCCAAAGTGCTAGGATTACAAGCATGAGCCACTGCACCCAGCCTATCAGCATTTTTTAATATCAGTATCTTGCCTGGGAAACGAGTATTTGTGAGGCTTCTCTAGTATATTTAGTTTTGCAGTTCGTTGTTTTTTCTGCCCTTTTTCATGTAGAAGAATTTTGGCACCTGGTGAAGAAGAGAATTTGGAATTTGAAGAAGATGAAGAAGAGGGTGGTGCTGGAGCAGGGTCTCCTGATTCTTTTCCTGCTAGGGTTCCCGGTAGGTATCACTTATTAAAAATAAACATTACTTAATTGCATCCAAAGTCAGAGTGTTTGAAACTTACTTTGGTGTTTGCTAGTGGGGCAATACAACCACTCTAAAGCTCATGCTAATCTTAGGCAAATTTTATTGGCAGTAGCTATTTCATAAGTATGGTGTGAAGTTATCTTACTCTCCGTGTCAGGGGTCCTCAGGACCATCCCCATGTTTAGTGATTCTCTAGGATGACTCACGAGGCTCACTATATAGTTGTATTCATGGCTAGGAATCATTACAAAAGAATGCAAGAACAAAATCAGCAAACAGAAAAGCCATTCAGGCAAAGTCTGGAGGTAACCAGGTGCAGGCTTTCAAGAATCCCCTTCCTGTAGAGTCACATAAGATGTGCTTAATTTCCCATGCAACAAGTTGCGACAACATATATGGAATGCACAATGTTGTCTACTAGAGAAGCTCTTTAGAGTCAGTGCCCAAAGCTTTTATTGGGGACTGGGTATGTGGGTACTTTCTGCCTGGCACAGACCAAAATTCCAGACTACAGAGGAAACAAGGTGTTTAGCACAAATCATATTGTTTACACAGTTTAGGCACAATGACCATTCTTACCAGGGAATGGTGGGAACCCTCCCCAAATCCAAGATCCCAGATGCCAGCCGTGGACTGACCTTGCAAGGAGGTTTTCTAAGAATAACAGTCTTAGGCCTGCTATGTTAATTCTTTTCTGTATACTATCATAAGTACTTCTTTTGTTTTGTTTTCTTTTGACACAGAGTCTCGTTCTGTCACCTAAGCCCTGGAGTGCAGTGGCATGGTCTCGGCTCACTGCAAACTCTGCCTCCCAGGTTTCTAGCAATTCTCGTATTTCACCCTCTCAAGTAGCTGGGATTATAGGCACATGCCACACGCCTGGCTAATTTTTGTGTTTTTGGTAGAGACAGGGTTTTGCCATGTTGGCCAGGCTGGTCTTGAACTCCTGACCTCAGGTGATCCACCTGCCTCAGCCTCCCATAGTGCTGGGATTACAAGCATGAGCCATTGCATCCAGCCATAAGTACTTCTTTAATTAATCAATTTGTAGTGGTTAAAAGTGGACCCATGGGAGTGGATACTGAACAATTGCCCTTTCTTCCCCATCTTGTTTTGAGGAAGCAAAGAATATATGGCAAAGTTTTTTATTTCTGGAAGCTCTCCATGAGTATCTTCCCTCCCTGTAAATAACCTTGGCAAGCAGCCTGGGTAAATTTCTTGCCTCTCCCAATTACTGCTTTACTCTGTTCTGTTCTGTTCTTATAAAGTATAGTTTTTATTGCTGATAAACTAGTTTACTTTGGGAAGTATAGCAATCTGCTATAATATTGTGATGCATTTTAGAAGAGATTCTAGAAGCTTTCCATTATAGTTAAATACAATCTGTGTGCTGTTCAGATAGCTTTCATCATAATTAATATTCCAGTATTTTGAATACTTCTTGAGGAGGAGTCATTTGGAGTAGGAACAATATAGGCTCGGACCAACAGATAACTGGGCTTTTGAGTCTGGGCTCTGCTAATCACTAGTTGAGGTACTTTGCACCTGTGTCTTAAACCAATCTGAACTTCTGTTTCTTTATAAAATGGGATAATGATAGTGCCTAACTCATACATAAGGTTATTGTGAAGATTAACAAGATACTAAGTATAAACCATTTAGCATTGTATTGTTCATATGCTGAATATTAGTGGTGGCTGTTACTCTTATCATCATCTCTACATGGGGATAACAGTACCTACACTGCAGGGTTATTGGAAACATTGCAGGCACTATCAATCAATGGTAGCTCTTATTGTTAATAATGTTTCTTTGGTACAAGGGCATTATTTCCAATCTACTTTGCTTTATGAAGAGACAGCTATATTTTTCTTGCTTTTATAGGGTATTTCAAGATTGCCAAGATGGTGAGATGTTTTGCTGTTTCACTGACTCGATAATTTTTATTGCCTTTTCAAACTACATACTGTAATTGGTGTAGCTTCCAGTTCTATAAATTTCTGTCTGATTTGGTTGTTTTCCTGCTTACTGTACTTCTGTAGCAAACAAGAAGCAGATGATGTAAATCATGAAATGGGCAGATGAAGGTCTTTATGGGGTTCAGATTGCCCAGTTGAAAAGGAACTTCTATCATAAATCCATTTGCTATGTAAGATTAAGCCCAAACTGAATTTGTATTCTGATACAGCATTGTGATATTTCGGTTTCAGAGATACAAATGCATTACTGAACCATTCTAGTCCCTGAATTTTTTTCCCCCTAAAAGAAAGAGTATGTATAGTTTAATTAGCTATATTTGGTTTGGGATCATATTGTTCAGGGCCTGTCTTATTGAAAAATAGCTTGTAAAATTATATTCATTGACATAGCAAGATGATACTTTTAATTATAGAGCAAGAAAGAGTTTCTTGTGACCCAAAGGGAACACGAGATTTAAAATCAGTTTTACTGGGATATTTACATATGTGAAATTCACTTGGCTGGGTGTGGTGGCTCACGCCTATAATCCCAACACTTTGGGAGGCCGAGGCAGGTGAATCACCTGAGGTCAGGAGTTCGAGACCAGCCTGGCCAACATGGTGAAACCCCATCTCTACCAGAAATACAAAAATTAGCCAGGCGTAGTGGTGGGCACCTATAATCTCATCTACTTGGGAAGCTGAGGCAGGAGAATTGCTGGAACCTGGGAGGCGGAGGTGCAGTGAGCCAAGGTTGTGCCATTTTACTCCAGCCCAGGCCAACAACAGTGAGACTGTGTCTCAAAAAAAAAAAAAAAAAGAAAAAAGAAAAAAGAAATTCACTCTTTTTAATATATACCTTTAATGAGTTTTGAACAACTCATATACTAACCACTAACCCTGTTAAGCTAATGAGGTGTGAGGGTATGACGTATGGTTTGTAGATACGGTATGACCAAAAATAGTTTTTTTCTGATTTAAAATTTAAAAATGACTTTCTAGACAGTCTGTCATGAAAAGAAAAAAAAAAAAGGAAAAAAAAGGTAGTCAAGCTTACTTACCTTTCTTGATATTAATCTCCTTCCTTCCTTTTCAAAATTTTTTCATTTCATAAGGCAAACATATTTATGTTATATAATTGGCTTAGCCAAATGGGAGTTAATTTTTCTAAAGATAGTCTTAGTAGATTTCATTTAAATAGAAAGTATAAGCTTATAGCCTATTATTTATAACCTAGAAATTTACTGATACTCTCGAATTGTAAAGCTATAAAATGATAAACCAAAGCAATATAACTTTAAAAATAGCCAAGACACAACTTTTTACAAGACTTTTAAAAGCATTATCTTACTAAGTAATGTGATTCAAGCTCAAATAGTCCTAGCAGTTTCAGAATTATTATGCATAGGTACTGGTTCTTCATCTCTTACATAGGCTTATGTATGCATAAAACATTATTTTTGACACTCAAAATAAACAATGAAATTTACCTATTTAATGTCAAGCCTGTATTTATTTTCTGATGTATAACTACTCAATTCTGAGTTGAACTTGAAAGAAGAAAACATGGATTTTATTTTCAGCTGAAATGAAGCAGTTTCTTTTCTTGCTCACACACATGTAAGAAAGTCAAAAACTGCGGCAAATGTTCATTGCTTTCCTGTGACTATCAGGGCATTCTTTTTTTTAATGGAAATCCAGAACATGTTTAGGGGCCAAGCAGTTAATATCACCTGAAGTGTATGGTTATGTTTACAAACAACTTTAATCAGGTATAGTTTTAATTCAACAGACCTACATATAATTTCAATGATAATGGCCCCTAAAATTTTTTCAAACTTTTAAAATAATTTCTAAATGAACTAACTTATATTTTCAAAGCCTTTCTCTTAAAAGCTTGAGGAACCCATGTTCTTCAACTGCTAATCAATTGCTAGCTAAAATAAATGGTATATGTATTTTAATATTTTACCACAAGTTCTACCTCTAAATGTAACTCAGCAATTCAAACAAATAAATGGTATCACCATGACCTGTTATCTATGTGCAATGCAAATTGCAAAGATTTTCTATTGCCAGATTTTCAAGACACATTTCATGTGTTATCTGCCATCTACCAAATATTGTAGCCAGTTTGAGCAATATCTTTATCTTAAATTGTGTTAAAAATTATCTCAAAATAATGCAAAGCATTATCAAGTATATCTTTTTTTATTATATTTTGGCAGCACAAAGAAATATATACTCAAAACAAATTTGGATGACAGAGAAAATCAGATACGTACCAGATATGCAAATTTAATTACAAGTATGATAAAAATGGTGAAAACTAGCAATGCGTATATTATCAAAATGTATATATATTATCATATGTATGTATTATGATGTGATAATGTTGAGTTTGCATTTTAGACACCTCAATGAACTCTGTCCTGAAAGTGTAGATAAAAAAATTATGTACTCCTTGTTCATGACATTTAATTTTCAAAGCACCAAGACAACATAAGGACTGACCTTTCATTGAAGTACCAGTGCCTGTGACAAGCATCTATAAAATATTATATAAAAATCAAACAAACTTAATAAGCAAATTCAAATTACAGTGTTTTCAGAAGATACAATCCTTAGTGATTTTCTGAGAAGGCTTTGCCTCTTTAACGTTCTGGTCTAGGTGATGATACACTACTATTTTAGAACAAAGACCATCATGCCATTTGCCCTTTTGGACCAAAAGAAAAATTTTCCTTTTGCTGTGGTATGTGATGTAAACAATAGCAATTTTTTTTAAAAGCAGAAATAATGAGACAAAAAAGGAAATGGCAGCCTTCCTCTTCTCTTTGTGAGGACAGGGTCTTAAAGGATTTCCCTGACTTCAAGTTCCTTCCATGTGACCCCAGACTCCTCATCCATTCATAGTCTGGTTCTCCGTAATCTCCATTGTCCAGAGTGCCTTTGGCCACACACAGAACTAGTCAATGTGAGAAGATCCTACTCCTTGCAGGGATCTCCATTTTTATCAGCTTCCTCTTGGAACAGAGAAGTTGTAAGTGAGGGGCCTCAAATATTCCTCCACTTTTCTCTGTACCAGCTGTAGGAGGGAGAGTGGTACTGATTGCTGGACACCTTGGTGGTCGGGGATTCACATGGCCAGCCTGGACAGAGGACTTGCTTGCACAGTCCCCATCTCCTCCCCATGGTGGCAGTGGCTATAACACACTCTTCTGAGAGCCTGCCTTGTTGCTAGGTTAGGCACTTGTACAGTTTTCAAAACATTCTTTTTTTTTTTTTGAGACAGAGTCTCGCTCTGTCGTCCAGGCTGGAGTGCAGTGGTACAATTTCAGCTCACTGCAACCTCTGCCTCCCGGGTTCAAGCAATTCTCCTGCCTCAACCTCCCAAGTAGCTTCAATTACAGTCATGTACCACCACACTGGCTAATTTTTGTATTTTTAGTAGAGACAGAGTTTCACCATGTTGGCCAGGCTGATCTCAAACTCCTGACCTCAGGTAATCCACCCACCTTGGCCTCCCAAAGTGCTGGGATTACAGGTGTAAGCCACCATGCCCGGCCAATTTTCAAAACATTCTTGAGTGAACTGGTCTTTGTTGAACAAACTTAGCCATTTCTGTGATACCTAGAACCTCTTTTCATTTTATTTGTGAGAATTTTGACAGTAGCACCTCAGTGAAGAAAGCCATGAGTTGACAGTGTCAGGGTTTTCTGTTTGACACCACAGTGTACAGCCCAGGGCAGTTCCTCAGAGGTACATGTGAAGACAGGGCGTGAAATCCAGCTTGGCCTTTGCTTGTTTGGGGCCTTCACAGCAGAAAAAATTTTCTTGAGTTCACCATTAGTTATACACCTTACAAATGCTGTAGCATGTCATTTATTGGTAAAATTTGTAGACTCAGTAGAGAAGCTATTTTTTTATAGTTTATCACAAAACCTCTTCAGGATATGAAAAGTCATCTCTGTGTGCACTTATTGTGCAGTTTGGGAGTAGAGCCTTTTAAATTTCTTATACTATATCTTGTCCTAAAAACATCTTGTAATTTCACATGCAGGCATTATGAGATCCTTGCCCACTGTGTGACTTTTCTTTCTCTGGGCCTTACGTTGTGCTACTAATTTCCTTTTTGAGCCTTTTTTAACTGAACATTACTTTAAAAAAAAAAAAAAAAAGCTTTACTCTATTTCAAATGGCCATTAGGATATCAAAATAATCAGTATCTTTACTTATCAATGGTTGTGACTTGTAGTTGCGATTTTTCAATTTTGTTGGATCCATCGCTGCATTGATAGAGTGTTTTTCACAGATGATGCAACTTGGAAATTATCCATCCAGGTACAACCTTATTAATAAGTAGGTCTCATCATTAAATGGACTTTTTTGTGTTCCCCAGTGCACTAGTGCAGTGAAAGGATTCAGAAGCTTGAAATTCATTGTTTTTACTTAGAATTGTCTCTATGCTTAGGCTTAGAACCTTCCTCTCCTAGCTCATACCTCTTCTTTAGAAGTCACATTGAATTGAAAAATTTCCTCCAGTTTTCTTTGCTACAAGTAGAGCATGTTTGCTCCAGCTGTTGGTGCATAAGGGAAGGCTGGGGCAGATAAAGCTGAAGAGGCTGACATCAGACTGCTGTATAGAGCTCATCAGCTACCAGTAGCTTCCCCTGTCTCCTGAAAAAAAAAAATTAAATGGACCAAATCAAGTGAGCATAATCTTAACTGCTTACTGCCATATGAGGCTCAAAGACCTATAATAAAATTGCTATAGGGGCTGCATAGTCTCTTTTCATCACTGCGAACCTGCATTGCTCAGTACAAAGCCCATTGCAGGAACTGCAGATGGTAAAGTTTTATAAATGAGTTACTTACTCTCATGTTACTCTATACAGTTGAATGCATCCATTTTTGTTTTAGAAATCTGGCTTTTAATACATTGCCTTGATTTTTAATTATTGTATGTTTTTATCTTTGACACACAAATATGTTAACTTTAATCTAGTCCTGGAATGGTATGGTATTACCCTAGTATTTTATCTTCTTTCATGCATATTATATAAGGCAGTACATTGATAATATGTTTTCAGGCCACGTGTTTACTAGAGCATAATAACCTCTAAAACTGTAAAATTCATTTATCATTCAACAAAATATTTCTAAAACAAAGATCTCTTTATTACTAGTGCAAACAATACAAAAATGAACAGTTACTCATTCCCGTTTTTCAGGATGCTCACCATGTAAGACAGAGCCAAAAAAAGTACATCATCATGGTTAGAGGTGGACACAGTATATTATGAGTGAACGAAAAAAGGACTGAAGGAGTTTAGCAAAAGTAATCTAGCCAGAACTGAGACTCGAAGGGTGTGTAGGAGTTGATTAGGCAGGGAGGGAGCACATTAGAAACCACTGAGAAATACACTTTTCTATACTATCTATCGTCTTAATTACATAGCTTCAGCTGTTCCTTAGTCAAGATAAAACTGAACCTTCATGATGGAGTGCAATGTTTTATGTTCTACCTTGAATTAGGGAAGAACTGAATAAATTAGGTATCTTTCCGGCTTGGAATCACTGCCTCCATATTACATTGTTAGAAATATATTTAGTAGTTAGATTAAACCTTATATTCTCAGGCAGAAAAAAAAGTTTGTTGGTAAGGAAGAAAGAAATGTCAGCCTCGTTATTTCAACTAAAAGATCTAGACAATTATAGGTTATGAAAGTGATTCACCTAAAGGTAGAAGAATTTTTAATGTTTACTTGGGAGAAAATAGTCTATCATAAAAGGAACTTCTCTCTTTTGTCTGTCAGAAAACACCATAATCAAAGTCAAAATGACAAAGGACTAATATCCTTAATATATAAAGAAAATTTTAAGTTGTGACAACACCCCCAAAACATTAGAAAATTGGTTAAAATATATGAACAGATAGTATACACACACACACCCCCAAGATATACAAATAGCTCTTGAACATATTAGAAGATACTCAACTTCACACATGATAAAAGACATGCAAATTAAAACTACTGTTGCTGAGGCAATAGGGAAATGGGCTCATTCATCACTGGTGGGAATAGAAAGTGATAATAGTCCCTTTAAAGGAGAGTTCAGCAATAGCTCAATAATAACAAAAATATACAAGTTTTCTTAGTTTAGCAATCCTGTTCCTAGGAATTTTCTCTGAAGATACACTTCCAATAACGTGTAAAAAAATTTTGTTTAAATACTTGCGTATACACCAGGTTCTCTATTGAGGTGTTTTTGGTAATAGTAATCTATTAGAAACAACCTAACTGCCATACGAAGATTGGCTGAATGAATAGCCAATACATGGACTATTACAGAAAATAATTAGGAAAATCTCCACAAACTATTGCATGATTTTTTTTTTTCAGAATATATTGTTAAATCAGCAAGACGCATATATCAAGGTAATTCACATTAGCAGATTAAGGAGAAGAATCTCATGATCTCAAGAGATGCCGAAAAAGTTTTCAATTACATTCTAATTTCTTTCATGATTTTAAAACTTTCTTAGCAGACCAAGAACAGAACATTTTTAATCAGATAAAAGGTAGCTATAATGACATTTAGTGCCTCAGTCATATTTAGTGATAAAATAGAAAGCTTTCCTTTTCAGATCAGGAACAAAACAAGGGTGCCTACTATTAACTATTTTCCTCAACAGTGCTTTAGAAGTTCTAGCCAGTGTACTAGTATAAGAAAAAGAAAAAAAATATAAAAATTGGAGGAAACTTGTCCCTTTATTTGCAGATGTTATGAATATGTATTTAGAACATGAAAGAGAACCTATGGATAAGTCGTTAGTATTAATAAGAGAGTAGGGTTCCTGAGTATAAAATCTGTACATAAAAATCAGTTCTTCCTACCAGCAGAGGTATTATTAAAAAATCGATCCTATCTCTTTAAATAAGCAATAAGTGCTCAGAAAATGAAATATTATGTCTATAATAGTATCAGAAAAATATCAAGTATCTTATAATAAACCCAACAAAAGAAGTATAAGACTTTCGTGAAGAAAAGAATAAAATTCCATTGAGAAAATTAAAAGTCTTTAAAAAGCTGAGAGATAATAGTTGATGGATTGGAAGAAGCAATTTCTAAAGATGTGATTCTTTCTAAAATTGATCTAAACTTCACTGCAATTTCAACAAGTGGGTTTTTTTTTTTCCTTAATGTTCATAAGGAAAAGAATGGGAAATTAGACTGTAAGATTATTCCATTAAATACACAATTACTAAGTTGTAAATTATTTCCTGTATCAATAGTCACTAGTGGCAAATGCCTGTAGTCCCTGGTACTCAGGAGGCTGAGGTGGGAGGATCACTTGAACCTAGGAGGTTGAACTGCAATGAGCTGTGATTGTGCCACTGCACTCCAGCCTGGGTGAAAGAGTGAGACCCTGTGTCAAATAAAAAGTAATTTAAAAGGATTTGTTGATCAACTCTGGTATTATATTTCTCAAACATTAGGATAATATAAGAAATATTTTAAAAGTTTTTTCTTCTACCACTTCATACTGAGATGCGAAGTATATTATATAAATAAGCATATACAAAGTAATGAGTTTATTATTAATTATGTGGTAATTTATAATTGGGCTTCCTGGAGTGACTTGAATTTCTGACAAACTTGAATAATTTCTGCTCTAGTGGTGACTATGAGACATGGAAGTGCAGATTTCTCTTATGTATAATTAAACATTTGAAAAAAGTAATGCCAAGTGTTTGGGAGTTTTGGGAACCAAAATAATGCCTGGCTGGTTATTAAGTCAGTTACAAGCAAGGCTGTATCTTCTCTGTGTTTGTTAAAATGCTTATTGTGAAATGACATGAAGCTTTTATTGCTTTTTCCCTGTTGCCAGGTACTTTATTACCAAGGTTGCCATCAGAACCAGGAATGACGTTACTCACTATCAGAATTGAGAAAATTGGTTTGAAAGATGCTGGGCAGTGCATTGATCCCTATATTACAGTTAGTGTAAAGGGTAAGTAACTCTGTTTACTTTTTTTCCCTCAGGTGAATTTTATAATGTTGCTTCTTATTTGGGACAGCTTTTTTTTGGTGGTGGGGCAAGGAGTCTTCTGTATGTGACAACTCGTTTTAGTTCATTCTATTATATAATGAGGCAAAGTCCCTGAAAGAGATCATCACTTCTTCACTGAACACTTTTGAGAGATTTACTTATTTTCTTATTTATAACTTACACTGTTTTGTTTTTAAGTTTTTCTTTGTGTATATCTTTTTATTCTTAAAATCCCACCTGGGGTGCTGGCTACACATCTTTATCAGCAGATACATCATTTAGGATACAGGTTAACAGAATATCCCTCACCTTCCAAAGGTGTGTAGGTTTGTTTGCAAAGCCCAGTGTTCTGTTTCCCTCCTGCGTTAGGCCCTCTCCTTCCTGTCCAAGAGAGAGGTCTACATTGGAGAGTCCACCAAAGGTGGATGAGAATCAGGCCTTAAGTGAATGATCAGTGAGGACAGGGAGGAGGACAGATCCATAGCATGCCTGCTCTGAACGTAATCCTGTGGAGCATTCAACAAGTGAAGTATTTCTTATCCTTAACTATGTTACTGTGGTTAGGAAGCATGATTATTCTTAGGATTTGGTTTTTTTCTCCTATCCAGTGAAAAGGTAGTTAACCTTTTCAGTCTTTCAGAGGGAAACCACATTGGTTGAATTCTTTTGTTGTTGCCAAACACTGTATATAGTACTTTGTTTATAAAGTACTTAACAGTCTTTTAAAAATAATTATTGGGCAATTGAGAATGAAGTTGTCATACTCCTATCCAGAAACAACTGCACAGCTAATCCAAGTGGTTTACTTTAATCTGTAATTTGAGGCAAGTCAAAGAAACAGATAGGGACTGAAATCAAATGAAGAGAACTTTTGTCAGTCATAGAAATAAATTCAGATTCAAAAGTTCATTAGTACCAATTAAAATAAAAAGGAATTTGGCCACAGAGAGGGATTATTTGGAGACCATGATCCACAGCACTAATGCTGTGAAACTTTAACTTCTGATGTTATCAGTTATCAAATATATGGCCTACTGGAAAGTATATATACTCTATATTATAGTTTGATCGGTCATTTACAGAACTGTGTAACTCATTCAGGAATGTACACTGTAAAACACAAAGATATTTAATGATATTGTAGTAGCTGTTAAGTTACCTTTGCATACATGTTGAACTAAAACATATTTTTGTAAATATCTTCAAGAACTGAAACAATCAATGAACTATATTGTTTTAAGTTCTCTAAGACAAATCTGTTGAGTAATACGTAAACACTTGAGTAGTCATTAAATGAGTCCATGTTGAATTTGATTAAACTGGAAGATTCCTGGATCCAGGAAATTAAAACCATACACAATAATTTAGTGTTCCGTCTAGTTGGTATAAAACAGGTTGTTATAACAAATATAATGAGAATTTAGATAATATTTGTAAAAATTATTCATTGATGGAAGGGTTTCATTGGCAATTTTCATGTCCATTTTTGGTCCTTAGATTTGAATACAGCAGGGGGATTCTGATAATGTTAGATTTAAAGGCCTTTCCAAACCATACACTTGATCAAGTTTGGAAATTAGGGGTAAGGTCCCATTGAGGCATATTATTTACATTCTAAGTTTTTATTGCAGACAAAAATATAGTGGCCTATTTCCTAAGGAAAACAAAAAGTTCTTTTCACTTCTTCCCTATAAAGATGAAATTTTGTGTTCTACAGCTTTCTTTTGTACCTGATTGAGACAGGTTTCCTCCTTCCCACCGCGAAGTCTCCCATCCCCTCACTCAGCCCCTCCACATGCCTCTGTGATCACCTGCAACTCTTCAGATACCTGCTCACACCAAATGGGAATTTCTATTAGTCCAAGAATTTCCTCTCACCTTTCTGCAAGCATCCTTATGAAATCTACCCCCTGTAGTTGGCAGGGGTTTTTTTTGTTTGTTTGTTTGTTTTTTGTTATTTTGACACAGAGTTTCACTCTTATTGCCCAGGCTGGAGTACAGTGGCACAATCTTGGCTCACTGCAACCTCTGCCTCCCGGATTCAAGAGATTCTCCTGCCTCAGCCTCCCAAGTAGCTGGGATTACAGGTGCGCACCACCACGCCTGGCTAATTTTTTGTATTTTTAGTAGAGACGGGGTTTCACCATGTTGGTCAGGCTAGTCTTGAACTCCTGACCTCAAGTGATCCACCCACCTTGGTCTCCCAAAGTTCTGGGATTACAGGCGTGAGCCCCCATGCCCTACTTAGTTTGCAGTTTTTTGTTTTTTGGTTTTGTTTTTGAGATGTCACTCAGGCTGGAGTGCAGTGGTACAATCTTGGCTCACTGCAAGCTCCGCCTCCTGGGTTCATGCCATTATCTTGCCTCAGCCTCCCAAGTAGCTGGGACTACAGGCGCCTCCTATCATGCCCGACTAATTTTTTTGTATTTTTAGTAGAGATGAGGTTTCACCGTGTTAGCCAGGTGAAACTGTGTTAGCCAGATCTCGATCTCCTGACCTCATGATCTGCCTGCCTCGGCCTCCCAAAGTGCTAGGATTACAGGCGTGAGCAACCGTGCCCGGCCTGCAGTTTTTAAGTCTGTATACTTGAATGTTCCTAAAGAGAAACTTCTTTTCTCTTTAGATCTGAATGGCATAGACTTAACTCCTGTGCAAGATACCCCTGTGGCTTCAAGAAAAGAAGATACATATGTTCATTTTAATGTGGACATTGAGCTCCAGAAGCATGTTGAAAAATTAACCAAAGGTTTGTAATCCTAAATAATAATTGGCTTCTTATGGACAGAATTCTCATCTTATTTGTGTTTATACATGTGAGGGACCTAGCATAGTTAGTATCTGGCAGAAGTAAATGTAACATAGTGTTTATTGATTTGAATAAATATATGTATTTTTAAAATTTAGAAATTAGGAATTGTGTTATCTACTTGTCTGATAACACTGTTATACAGTAAAACAATCTTTGATAATACAATTTTATTGTCTTTACCAACAAAATAAAGTTTTTCACACACTGAAGGGCTGGGAGAAGCAGGAGCACCCTAAGGCTCCCTGATGATTAAGTTTAATGATTAAGTTTTAATCTTAAAATTAAGAACCAGGGTTTTCTTCCAGGATTTCTAGTTTGGTAGCACGATAACTTGCAGTTAATTGTTAGGAAATAGGAAAGGACAAAAGCAAATTTTTGAAACAGTGAGGTTACATTTCCAAGTACAGTTCTTAGTATTAAATACTTACCCATGCTTTTTGCCCAGTGAAAATTTCGGTGTTCTCCAAAAAGGTGACTTCAGAATCCCTTTATCACCTGAGGGTTCAATTGCAGTTTCTGAAATGTTCAAGCTCTAAATATTCAAGTGCCTTTTGAAGTGATTGCCTTGGCATCTGAAATATTTGATATTTCACTTCTCAAGTCTGATGCTGCTGCCTCCTCTGTTCTTCTACTAAAAGACCTTTCAGTGCTTCTGTTAGAACAGTGGTTCTCAGAGTATGATTCCTGGAACAGCAGCAGCACCTGGAACCTTGTTAGGTGGCAACCCCAGACATCCTGAATCCGAAACCATGGGGACGGGCCTAGCACTCTGTTTTAGGAAGCCCTCTAGGTGATTCTGACATACACCAAAGCTCCAGAGTCGCTGTGTTAGAAGACTATGTATGTAGGAGGTGCTTAATAAATAGTGTTGAAGAAATTTCAGTTACAAAGTATGTCTTCTGAACAAAACTGTTGATTTGTTTCATTTCTTTAACTCTGTTGCCTTAAGAAATGTTTGTGATGTGAAGGGGAGAAGGTGGAGTGTTTCGTGGGTTAACTTTTCTATTTCATTACACTGTGTTCTTTCTAAATGACTCGACTCACCAGATAATAAAAGTAGAACTAGATTAAAAATTTGACTCTATTCGTTTTCGCCAGCTTCAAACTTACTGTTTACCGTTACTGTAGTTTTACCTGATATTAGTGTTAATGACCATACTTTCATGTTTACAAACATTTTAACTTAATCTTCCCAGGATATTCTTGTTTTATGTTTTGTTCTTTCTTATAAAAAGCATGATGAGGGATGCAGGAAATATATTATTTACAAGTGATACAGGTTAATAATTGAACTTCCTCAGAATGATGGTAACATATTTGAACTTTAGCATTGTTTTGAAATGTGACTTTATCATTCACATTTATTCAAACCTCAAGACACGATCATGAGGAGGAGATGGGTTTCCTAGCTGAAAAGACTCTGGTATCTTAAAAATCTTTGAGGTTTTTCTAATGACAAAATGCCTCTGAGTGTTGTGGGAGGGAGAAGAGAAGCCACCGTTTGTGGAAATGGCAAGGTCACACACCTAGGGAAGAGATGTTACCAGTAACCTAACTATTGTAATCCTTTCGAGCATGTTGGGAGTGGATGGCTGAATATGCCCATCTCTCTCTCACCCACATTCCATTGTCTCCTGAACAACTGGTTTTTCTTTCCTCCCTTGCCATGTGATGTGGTCCATTTGGACCCAAGTGCCAATGCTGTACACACATTTCTGAACACTGCTGAACTTCTAGTGACTTGTGAGTTTTGTCATCAGTGACAGTATTAAATGTATGTTGTCTTTGAAAGCCAAGCTCCTGGACTGCTCTGGTTAAGGCAGTATTTAGAAGTAACCAGTGAAGAGTGAGACACTGACTTCCTTCCTTCACTTTCCATGCCTTCTTTAGAAATTCATTTTTCTTGGCCACATTGATGAGGCAACTTATTTCTCCATTTTTAGCTTTTTTCTGCAGGATTGCGGGAAGAGTTTATCTGTTGGACTTTGGGGACATAGGACTGTCTAAATTGCTTATTTTTTTCTTTTTTTGAAACAGAGTCTTGCTTTGTCACACAGGCTGGGGCACAGTGGCATGATCATGGCTCACTGCAGCCTCAGTCTCCCTGGGCTCAGGCAGTCCTCCCTCCTCAGCCTCCCGAGTAGCTGGGACTACAGGCACCTGCCACCAAGCCCGGCTATTTTAAAAATTTTTTTGTAGAGGTGGGGTCTTACCATGTTGCCCAGGCTGGTCTCAAACTCCTGGGCTCAAGTGATCTGCCCACCTCTGCCTCCCAAAATGCTGGGATTACAGGCATGAGCCACCGCACCTGGCCAGAACTGTCTAAATTTCTCATTATCACTTGTTCATTGGAGGAGAGTGGCAGAATAGATAGATTTGCTCTTTGAACCTTTTGTCTTCTACAGCACTGCCTTGACACAAACATGCAGTTCCAGGAAAAACATCACAACAGTGCTTTGAATAATACTGCAAAAGGTATTAGGGAAAGAGATAACATTTTACAGCTCAGCCAGCATGTGATTTATGTTGTTTGAATTCCAAAATATCCCCAAGATTGAATTTTTGAGTTTTTGTTTCGGGATAAGGGTAATAATTCAAGCTTAAATTTTTTTAGGAACTCTTTTAAATGCATTTTCTACCTAATGAGTTTCTATGTGTATTGAAGTATCTTCTTTGTTCTTCTGTGGCATTTTGTATTTTATAGCAGTTTATGATTCTACCTGTGTACATAACTTATACATTCTTGAAGCAGTCTAGCTCAAGAAGTTTTGCTATAGTTTGTAGAATTGGATGATAAGGAGAAATGTCACTCTTCTCAGATACAGACGAGTTTGGGGTGACAACCATAGTAAGTTACTGTCAAATCATTGAGACTGGCACAAGTTGTTTTGTCAAATTATGCCTGCTGTAGCTGTTCATATGCTTCTGGTGATCAAAGAAAATGAATTGACACACAAGAAATGTGCTATCTGTGGTTTATGTGGCTTGTTTTAATTCCTTAGGTGCAGCTATCTTCTTTGAATTCAAACACTACAAGCCTAAAAAAAGGTTTACCAGCACCAAGTGTTTTGCTTTCATGGAGATGGATGAAATTAAACCTGGGCCAATTGTAATAGAACTGTAAGTGGTGTGCATATAGAGTTAGTACTAATTTGATGGTGACTAGTATATATTTCTTCTAAATCCCCCATATCCAGTATTTAACCTTGGAAGAGTTCAGTTATCAAAGTGTTTTAAACAATCATCCTTCTGTTGTGATTACAGATACAAGAAACCCACTGACTTTAAAAGAAAGAAATTACAATTATTGACCAAGAAACCACTTTATCTTCATCTACATCAAACTTTGCACAAGGAATGATCCTGACATGATGAACCTGGAACTTCTGTGAATTTTACCACTCAGTAGAAACCATCATAGCTCTGTGTAGCGTATTCACCCTTCAACAGGCAGGAAGCAAGCCGTACCCAGACCAGTAGGCCAGAGGGAGTCCAATGCAAAGCTGTACCACAGAATTCAAAGTCCAGCACATCACTGACATATAGGGCTCCTTTGGATACAGGTTTATTGTAGATTTTGAAACATGTTTTTACTTTTCTATTAATTGTGCAATTAATAGTCTATTTTCTAATTTACCACTACTCCTACCCTGCTTCCTGGAACAATACTGTTGTGGGTAGGATGTGCTCATCTTCAGACTTAATACAGCAATAAGAATGTGCTAGAGTTTACACATCTGTTCACTTTTGCTCCAGTATGCTCTTTTGACTTAACTTCAAGCTTTGGGTTGATGTGGGTAGGGTAGTGTCAAACTGCTTTAAGAGGAATTGGACCAGTTCTGCGGCCTAAGAAGGTCTGTCTGGATGTTTATAGGCAGCTCCTCTGAAGTGGCCTAAATTCACCCTGATCTGATAGTTTTCCTGCTTAGAAAGTGTGCCTTGGCCAGATCAGTATCCCATATGGGAGTGTTCCCTAGGTTGTAGCTGTGATTGTTTCCAGATGACCAGATTGTTTTTCTGAAAATGAGCATATTTTTAGTCATGTTGATTAGCTGTTCTTCTACATCACATTGTTACTCTTTCTGATGATGATTCTAGGGTTAACATTGGAACCATCTCAAAGTAATTACAAATTTTTAGATGGGTTTACAATGTCTTCTAAACATGTAATCTAAAAATAATTGAGTCAGATGCTAACGAGATACTGCAGGCATAACTGCTGTTTTTCTGACAACTGATTGTGAAACCTTAAAACCCGCATACCTCTTCTTATAGTGAGGAGTATGCAAAATCTGGAAAGATATTCTATTTTTTTTATATAGGTAGATAGGATCGCCATTTATTTCCTATTTAGATATACTGACATTCATCCATATGAAAATATGCAGGTCATTAGCTTACTATAATTTGACTATTTACTTTTGACTTAATGGGGCATAAATAAAACTTTCATAGTACACATGAGGTGGATATTTGATACACAGAACATTTGTGGTGGGCTTTCTGTGGGTTAGATGTAAAGCCCACATATTTTAATATTCACTATTTTAAATGAGCAATGCATGAGGGGAATGCAGTGTCAGTACCTGGCCTATTTTTAAACTAGTGTAATCACCCTAGTCATACCATTCAGTATGTTTGCTTTTAAAATAAGTAACCACAATTAAGTTGTTTTAGCCCTTGCACTTCAAGAGATCTAGTCTTTACTTTCAGTTGTCTGTTAGGTCCATTCTATTTACTAGACGGATGTTAATAAAAACTATGTGAGCCTGAACGAATTCTCGGCCAAATTTAGTCTTGTCTCTCATCTTGATTGGATTAATTCCAAATTCTAAAATGAGTCAGTCCACAATAGCTCTAAGGGATGAAGAATTTGCCTTACTTTATTGTTCACTCAGTTCCTAAGACTGTGAGTTGTCAAATCCCTAGACTGTAAGCTCTTCAAGGAGCAAGAAGCGCATTTTCTCCGTGTCATGTAATTTTTCTAAGGTGCTTGGCAGCACTCTGTACCCTGTGGAGTACTCAGTACCTTTTGTTTGATGTTGCTGACAAGACCTAAAAAACAATCCCTTAAAAAAAAAAACGATTAAAATGTAGCAAAACCGATGTATTATTTTTTCTCTTTTCTCATAAACCGTAAGATATGTATATCAAAGTGATAATTTATATGAAGCATCTGCTATCCTTCACATAAGTATGGTTTATATGAACTACAAATACCTTTCATCAACATTAAAGAAGCTTAAATTGAACACTGTGTGATTAGCTTAACTTTAATTCGGACTTGAATATAATGAGAAAATGAGTGATTGTCTTGCAGTTGACACAGAATATACTACATCCCACAAATTACTTACTTTCCAATGAAAAAAAATCAGCCATTGACAATGTCACTACAACTATAGCAGAAATGCCTTCAGGCTGAATATTGCTGCTTCATAAATAAGACAATTTTAGCAACTAAATCCAGACACAATTAGTTGGAGATGACTTCCGAAATAGATGAAACTTTAGAGATGGAAAAGTGATTTGACTGAGGGATGATACTCCCTATGCCATCTGCGTTTTGGCGCCCTGCTTTGGGGTTTGCTGCAGAAATGGTGCAATCAGATGGATGAGAGGAAGCAGTTATGGACTGGCTCACAACTTCTCAGAGAAGCTACACTGGAATCTCCACAGCTTGCCAGTTTCTCAATTATGTCAGATACAGAATAATCACCAAAAAAGACTTTAGAGGGGAAAAATACTCTAATTTTGAATTTTAAAAATAGATTTAATTTACCTTTTCTACTTACCTTCCTAGATGGCATAATCTACACTTAAATGACATTTAAAATTAGAAATTATATTAATTTCAGCATTGTTTTGTGTCCTAAAGAGACTGACAGGTAAATTCAAAAATTGTATTTGTGACTTAATCTTATTTTACATGGCTAAAAGTGGCCTATGCTCTTCTGTGGAGTTTTCCTCTTAATTTCTTCTATTCTTGATATTAAATGGGAGGACATATAGATTGAATTCTCTTTTCCTGAAGAATTTATATATTCCTTATGAACTTTGACAGAGTTGCCTTCTTTCAAAGTCTTTATCTTTCTAAACTATCTTCAGTTGTTTAGTATAAAGAGAAAATTGTTCCACATTGAAGCTTTTACTCCTTTTTACAAGATATTCTTAATCAATTAAATATCACAACAGTGACAAGACATACACTAGGTTTCAAAAATATTACATCATAGGACTTCAATGAATGGAAGAATATAACCTAGCAGCAAACAAAAGTATCAGCCTTTTATGATTTTAGTTTTAGTCTAGATCTTAAACTCCTTAAAAGGAGTGCTATTATTACTGTAATTAAAATGTCTGAAGTTAGTTCTTAGAAATGCTGTAGAGTATTTAAAGAAACATTGTTTTAAAGGCACAGTGTAGTAATGGATAAGACTTTAAGTATGCTGCAATTCCAGATGGTTAGTTACTGATTTTTAAATAAAAGCACCAATGTTTAAATAGTAATTTTGGAATAACACCTGTCGCCCCCCTCTTCCTCCCTAAAAAAAAACTGATTTCAACCCTTGATTGCTGACCTAGGGCATGTTGTAAGCCTCATAGTCCTAAATCATTCTTTCTCATGGCATTATACTCTTCCAATCTTTTTATTATATTCCTCAAAAATCAGTGGCAAGGAATGGGAAAGACGAGACTGTACATTTTAAAATTTTTAAAGATTTCTGTACTTTTATGGCCATGACACATCATTTTCATTTTTCTGTTGTGTACCTTTTTTCTACAGGAATGGTAAAAGCAATAGAACATCAGGTCAAACAACTCTTGCTACTAATGTAAACTCACTCTCAGAAAACCATTCTAAAATAGACAATGAGGATCGTAAAGAAAGCATGTGAATGCTATACAAGTGGGAAATAAACTTCTTTGAAATAAAAAGACATCACTTGTAGAGTTCACAGGTGACGGGGTAGCAGCCGGAAGTGTGCCACCAGCCACCATCATCAGTTCTGGGAGCCTGAGTGTACATGTTCCCCAAATCGCACAAGCCTCATTAACAGTCCAATGAATCAACAGACACTTGGGAAATATTAATAACAAATTTTTATGAGCTGTTACTACAAAGAACTTCAGCAAGAGGGGAGATGAAGTTTAGTGATCCTTTAGTAAACATTTTTAGCGTAACAGTCTTTGTGACCAGATAGTTTAAAAAAAAAAACGCTTATAAACACCATTGCTCCGTATTCAGCTGGTGTACACTAAAAATAGGATAATGGAAATACATGTTCTTAAAGCATTTCCACAGGAAATGTTCATATTTTTCATGACATTCTAAATCATTTAGCAATTACATATGCTACATTAGCTAAAACACAGGTATTCTTTATTGCACATTTCAAAGTTGTAAGGACGCTCTAGCTTAAAAGGTGTCTTATTTAGGGAAGAAATGACATTTCTGAATTGTTTGGCTCAAAAATGCACACTGCCAAGGCAGCGTAGTTCTAACAACAAACCTTTTAAAATAAACTTTTGGATTTTGAAGCCAATGAAATCTTTTACTGTAATGAATAATGCACAGTACACTTTCTCTCCAACGAAACGTCAGAGATCATAGTTATGGGCTCTGTTTTAAAGCCTGTGAACAGTCCTGGCTAGTGCTCTGAGAGGCAGGAGGAGGATCATCTCTAGAGCCTGATGGTGGTAAGTCTCTTGCAGCAGGTGGTGGTGGGTAATCCTGGGGACCATGGGTTGGGGGTGGTAATCGGGCACCAGGAATAAAGTACTCTCTTGGGCCAAGTGGACCTAAAGGTCTAAATGGTGTGTGTCCAGGTAAAAATTCCCGAGGGTGGAGAGGCAGGTCCCGTTTTCCTGGTGGAACGCCTGGTGCAAATTCTCTTAAGCCTAGTGGTGGACGCATACCAGGGCCTGGAAAACAAAAATTATTTCTAGTAAATTCCTAGGAACATATCTAAATTAAGATAATGCCAGGTATGTTAATATGGTCTGTCATCCTTTCTTTTTTTTTTGGAGGTAGAGTCTTGCCTATCACCTGGACTGGAGTGGAGTGGAGTGACCATGGCTCACTGCAGCCTCAACCTCCTGGACACAATCGATCCTCCCACCTCAGACTCCTGAGTAGCTGGGACTACAGATGGATGCCACCACTCCCAGTTAATTTTTGTATTTTTTGTAGAGATGGCGGTTTCACCATGTTGCCCACACAGGTCTCAAACTCCTAGACTCAAGGGATCCACCCGCCTCAGCCTCATCTAATGAATGGTGGGATTCATAAAGTGCTGGGATTACAAGCGTAAGCCACTGTGCCTGGCCTATCATCTTTATCTTAAAAAGAGATAGATTTGCACTCCACCATACCAAGAAGACAGACTAAATATGGCTTCATTGCAATAAAAATTTTGATAAATTCCATTAACTACTGTGTATCAGTTACAAATTTATGCAGTACACTTTGGGAGGCCGAGGCGGGCATATCACGAGGTCAGGAGATCGAGACCATCCTGGCTAACACGGTGAAACCCCGTCTCTACTAAAAATACAAAAAATTAGCCGGGTGTGGTGGCGGGCGCCTGTAGTCGCAGCTACTTGGGAGGCTGAGGCAGGAGAATGGCGTGAACCCAGGAGGCGGAGCTTGCAGTGAGCAGAGATCGTGCCACCACACTCAAGCCTGGGCAACAAGCGAGACTCCATCTCAAAAAAAAAAAAAAAAAATTACGCAGTAGCTCAAGATGAAGCTAATAATGCCATAAAAATTAAGGTGCTTGCCCTGCTGGAAAAGGCCTTCCAGCTGCATCTAATTAAATTCAGCAGCATTCATTAGATAGCTGTTAAATTCTACCTTCTCTTTCATATCTCCTTCCTTTGTATTCCCAAGGTGAGGACTGAGGGTTTATATCTTTCCCTAATACCCTGTGACCTACTGCTTATGCTTCCATTATGGGTGATTACAAGCTTTATGTTGTGGTGTGTGTATATTTGTGACCTACAAGACATCTTAATTAGAGGATATATTTTATCTACCTTGCTATCCATTGCACAGCCCAGTACACAGCCACAAATGTTCAATAAACATGTGCTTAATATTTCTGGCTTTTTATGAATAGCCTCTTTCCTTGTTCTATTAGAGACAATTATTGCCCATCTAATCACAGGAGATTATGCAGCACCCTTTGTGTCCTAAGAAACTTGGGGAAAAGTTAACAATGTACTCAATCAGCTTCATCATTGCATTGCAAAGCCCTGCAATTGCAGTTGTATTAGCAAGGGATAGAGGGAGATGAATGTGCTTTACAAGTCAATCACTACTGTTCAGATCATCTTACCAAAGGGTGGAGGAAGTGGCCGAGGCCCGAAAGGTCCGCAGAGCTGAGGTGGTGGTCCATATCGAATGGGTGGTGGTATAGGGCCTCCCATGGGGGTGCTCATGAGAGGGACTCCTGAGAAAGGAGGGGGCCCTTTTGGAGCCATATTAACCTGCAGAGTAGAAGCAATTGAAGTTTTGAAATACTCTGTTATGACAGACAAAAGCACCAACACCAGTAAAAACTAAAACTCAATGAAGCAGATATCAGGCATTTGTCCGAAGAGCAGAATTAGTGCAAAAAACTCTACCCCTCTCATTTGTTACCACTGATAGCTTAGAAAGGTTAAAAGTACGCCACAGGAGTGAACACTTGCTACAATCGTACTATTGCTTACATCTGCAAATGGAAGGGAATGCACAGGTTATAAATGGAGGTCATTCCTGACTAATATAGAAGTTATGCCACTCATACGTCTATTTCTAAGGCAGTCACTCCCTCTGCACATCCCTCCCATCAGAGTAATTTCCATATTAAGGATGCAGAGAATGAATGGGAATGAAAAATCCATTCTCTACCATGTAATAGTGATTATTCAGAGTACCTTCTGTAGGCCTTACATATATTAACTCGAATTATCACATCTCTAAATCTCTAATAGGACCATCTTGTTCTAAATATGCAGGAACACAGGCACAGAGAGTATTAGATTTGCTGACGGTCACACAGCATGTAAGAGGCTGGCTGGAATTCAATGCCAGGTTTGACTCCAAGGCCACGTTCTTTCCACCTCTGCTTCTCCTGTCTCACAAAGCAGCCTCTACACTCTTTGAAGTCGCCTACTTCAAAGGGGTCTTGGGTCTTATCCAAGCTGCCCTTGGATAAAAACATTTCTCAAGAGATGTGTATTCCTGGAGTCCTCTGCTGGAACTTGGAAGTATTTTCCAAGAGAAACAATGTTAGGTACACAAATTACACAGGCACAGCTCTATCTACCTTCATTCACTAGTAATACTGTCTACTATGAGATACTGATTAATCATTTCCTATGGGAAAGTGGGTTGGAAACTCTCAATCATTAAACTTATTTTAATTTCAATGTAGAGAATCACGGTGAGGTATGATCAGAGCACTTACCAGCCATAACAGCTACACAAGTTACAAGAGAATATACTTATGTGAACACTGTTTAAGGACACTGCTGGGAACTGGCTCAATGGGTAATTATAGACTTTCACTATTCAGTATTTCACTTCCAGCAAACATTCTTCTGTTATCGATCTGTAATTTCAGATCATTCAAAATAGGGTTTGCCTAGTATACAATTGGAGGTATTCTTAAATACCACACTTCCAAATGAAGACATAGTAATGAATTACACAATTTACAATGAATTTACTTTGCCTAATAGCATTAAACACTGAAACACACAAGAGTGGGGACTTTTCACTTTTGTTTAAGTTAATTAGAGTTACAGCAGATGCTCTACACAGGTTAAATGTCTAACCAAACAGGAGAGAGGAGAAAAGGCCAATGAATCCATCAGATTTCAGCAACACTCCCAAGTCAAGGATAAAAGTAAGATCAATATTGCCATGCAACTTATAGCCCAGTTCAGTCCACACTTCTAAGTACTTACTGCTACTGGATGCTCAGCCAAAGATGTAATGCTGGGAACTGAGGGGACTTCAGGCTCTTGCAGAACAGTTTGCTTTTTTTAAAAATAAATGAGATAGTACAGGTAGAACACACAAATAGGAGATGAGGCAAAGACAGAGTTGTAGGAAAAGCTAAATGTCCTGAAATAACTAATTATTCAAAATGGGGGTATTTACCTTGCCTTCATCGATTACCCTGTTAGGGGAAGAGCCTCCTGAGCTGCTGTTCATCATGGCAGCTGTACCAGATCCTGGATCTGTTAAAGACCAGAGAACTGATTTAGACTTATTCTCACTTGTGTACTCTGTGAGGAGGATTAAAAAAAAAAAAAAAAAAGAAATTCCTCTGCCCACTTCCTGCATGGTTTTAGACTCTTTGAACACTCTTGCTCCCTTACCAGAAGGAGAGGGTTTCCCAGATGCCTCAGCTGACCATCGAGGATGAGGTAGAGGCCCGTCCACTGATCCTTGAGAAAGAAATAACAGAGCCCTTATATGTATTTTTTGGAAGAAATAATCAATTGTGGACAGGTCAGGGTTCAAGTCTATCTGGAAAGCAATATTAAAAATGGGTCTCCCAATCCTTATGAAGGGAAATCACTTACAATTTATGCACGGACTTAAAGAATTAAAATAAAAACTGCCTTGCACTGAAAGAACAATAAATCCTGCACATTAATGGCTCTGGTTCTACACTTCAAGCTACAGACTTCCATGTATTGTATTCTACATGGTGATTTTTGTTCAGTGTATATGTAATCTGACTTCTGTATCTTACTGAGTATTATAGACATATTTAGGATTCAAAATAGACTTAACAGCGTTTCATACTATAGTAATGAGAAGTGGAAACATGTATGCTGCATAAACTATAAAGTTATTAAGGCTACTTTATAATACAGTTGACTCTTGAACAATGCAGGGGTTAAGTGTGCTGATCCCCTGCGCAGTCAAAAATCCACGTGTAACTTCTGACTCCCCAAAACCTACCTACTAATAAATAGCCTACTATTGACCAGAAGTCTTACCAATAACATAAACAGTTAATACATATTCTGTATATATATTGTATACTGTATTCTTACTTTAATAAAGCAAGCTAAAGAAAATGTTATTGAAATCATAAGAGGAAATGTATTTATAGCACTGTATTGTATTTGTACTGTACATGTACATGGTCTGTTTACAAGATGAACCATCTGACTGAAATGACTGATAACTGCTACTGTACACTCCAATCTATGGTATATATCAAAGCAATTCAACTTTCTCTAGTAGTGTCATGACTCTGCTTCTGGAGAATACTTCCAGCATCACTAGTGGCATTTTATATGGGTCCCATGGTGTTATTCAAGGTTTATGGTATTGCACTAAACGTGAAAAATACACAAGAACCATGAGAGATTATGTTTACTGTGATACACAATTTACTGGAAAGATGAACTGCCCACATGCAGATTAACATCACATGGTGTTTTAAGTGGATACTCACAACACTTGAGCTCACTGTAGTAGCAACAGGAGGTGGTTATGAAATTATTACAGTAGTACAGTATGTACTACAGCTAATCTTACGCATTTATGATTTAAAACTGCATCTTTACATGTGTTTATTTTTCCCAATTGTGAATGGTATCAGGTACATCTGTGCTTGTGCAAGTTTTGATAAATTTTAACTTTTAAAAATAGATCTTTGTATATTTTACAATAGTATATGATAAAATAGACTAGTATTTACATATATTTTATGCATTCACAACATACATAAATTTTTCTTAAATTTTTTTATATTTCTAGGCTATGTGGTTCATCTGCAAGTTCTTTCAAATTATTGCAAAGCTCCAAAAAATTTCCCAAGATATTTTTTGAAAAAAATCTGCATAGAAGTGGACCTGCACAGATCAAACTTGTGTTGTTGAAGTGTCAGCTGTATTTGGGAGAGGAATCCCACAGAACTTTAACTGAAAGATAAAAGCTTATACTTCAGAGTATAAAACTAAGAAACAAAACAATAAAGGAAAGTAATAAATGCCTTCTGTTCTAAAGCAAAATCTTTCAGTTGAATACTTGCAGTTGAATCCACCAAGACAAAGAAAGAAATTTTCTTTTCTATACTGGACAGACCCGAATTCTAAAGTGTTTGCATTAGAATTCTCAAATAAAAGGGAAAAAACCACCCAAAAGAGTATTGCAAGGAAACACGTGAATGCTCACCAAATTCACTTCTAGGCATATCTCTTCGACTGAGCGTAGCAGAGAGAGGTCTCACGGGTGGCTCCACTGTCAATGGAGGGGAGCATTCTCCACCACTCACAGGGGATGGGCCAAAAGAGCCATTCTGGCTCAGAGGACCTAAAGATGACAGCGTCGTGTTAACATTTTAAGACAGGCTTTTTTTCTTTACTCAGTTCTTGGGATTATTCCTAGGGTACCATACCATTACACACACAAACAAAAAGTCAGGTATATACATTTTACATCAAAAAACAGATTGCTGCCCTTTACAAGGTGCTCCCTTACCTCTCCGTGGAGGGTTTTGTGTATTTGGTCTTCCTGGCATTGGTTTTACAATCACAGGTTCTTCTTGCAGCATTGCCATCTTTTGTGTTAATTCTAATAATCTTGAATATAGAGAAAGAATATTTAAGAAAGACTTAAATGTGAAACAGAAACCAATTCCTTAAGACATCACACACTGAAAATACAGGCATCACAATCACATACTTGTGTCTCAAGTTGGCAGCTTCCCTTTTCTCTTCAGCTATAGCTCTTTCTGCAGCACGAGCTTTGAGCTATTGAAGAAAAATATCCAAATTCAGCTGTGGGAGACTATGCACAAAATAAGGTAAAGAAAAAACAAATCTTACCCAGTTTTCATGAGCTTTCTTCTCATGGGTAGCGATCTGAAAAAGATAATACATCACAAAATATGCTTACAGATTCATTATAATAGCCTGTAGTAGGTATCAAAGAATTCCGGGCACTATATAGTAGGGCACTAGAGTTATTACCTGGTTTTTAAATGACCGCTCTGTCTTCTGTAATTCATCCTCCATTTCTTCAATTCTCCGCCTAAGAATTACACTTGGTTTTATCATTTAAAGCACAACCAAATAAAAACCCAAACCATCTGACTATGTTAACTTTTACCCTAACAACTGTACCCTAATACAGGTTATCCAGAAATATAAAGCATATTTTACATGGTTGGTTATAACAAAAGTACAATATGATGAAAACTAATGATACATAATTTCCTTTAATAGCTGGAGATTCTGAGTTGATAAATTAAAATTTCTTTAACTGTTCCTAAATATGTTCTCGAATAATCCTATTCTTAATATCTTCCACTATAAACCTTTTTTCATCCTTTAATTATATTATAAAAAAATTTCCCAAAGTTAGGACTACTGGGTCTATCAAATGGCAAAATCACTTTAATGGCTTTTGACACATACAACAAACTGCCCCCACGCCCCCCCGACCCCCAGAACTGTTTGCATGAATCAAGTTCCCTTACAGTTTTGCCAACACTGGCTACTTGTTAATATTTTTCCATTTGTTAACTTAAAATATAGTTTTTCTTTTTTGTGAACTGATGTATTCATGTCCTCTAACCATTTATTTGTGCTTTGGTGCTAATAAAAAAAGCCAACACTAGTTTCATTAGCCACTGATACCCTCTTTAGAAGGTGAACTTACTTGTAAGTTTTTACTTCCTCTGCAGCCGAAACTGCCTTTTCATCTGCCGCTGACAGCCTGTGCTCTCTTTCTTGTCGTTCAAACTCTTCTTGACTCAGTTTCCTAAGATAAAACTGGTTGTCAGTGGAAGTGTTTCTCTTTTCCTCCTGGCATTCTGTCTGAATACTCTAATAAAATCTCACTTCCTATCCTATTCTTAAAAATGCATAGATTATACAAAGTCATAGGAAGGAACTCAAACTGTTCTTCAGGATAAAAATCCAACTATGGCCTGTTGATACATCACCTGCATTTTCTAATGTCTCATAATTTTCTCCTCATTAGTAAATAATACAAATGTAAAAAAGCACTATGTGTCCCATGGGAAAGACTGTTGTGTTGAAATGATGAATGCACACTTTTCTTCAATGTAGAAAGCCAGGACTGATCAACCTAACACAGTTAAGCTTATTAGGATAATGCAGGAGATAATTACTTCTCTTATTTCTAGCCATGGAAAGACCACTAATTAATTTTCTTATGGGCTGTTTCTCAATCCAAGAATGGTACCACGATAAAGACAGCCAATGAAAGAGCTTTTTAGAACATGTCCTTAACTGTGCAATTAACCCCAGAACATTTTCACACTACAGACATGGAGCTCTCCTACCTATTTCAATGGAATCATGATTAAGCAGAGAGACAAATCTGAGTATCGGCAATGTCTGTTGAACAGAAGAAGAATCCAAACTGTCCCGTAATCAGGGTGCTATGTACTGGAAACTGGTTTTAACCTGACAACCTTCAAGCTCAAGAGGTCAGCCAACTATAACACAGATTGTAAAGGCAGCAACATTTAATGGTTTAAAAGTGCTACCTGTAGTTACCCTTGTATTTCTTTACTTATAGTTCTGATGCAAAAGGTACTTGAAAATTTTCTACAAATTGGAAACAAAAATAGAGGAGCTATAGTAAAATAGTAAAAAGGGTTATTAACACTAAAGAGAAAGAAGTTTATGTACTCTTTTACAACTGCTCATTCAATACTTCAGCAAATATTTCATGAGTGGCTATAATATACTAGTTACCTTGTAAGAGGCTAAGATAAAGGCATGGGTATGGTAAGTACCACCTCTGCACTAAAGGGGCTCACAGTTGAATGTGCAAAAGGTGCATGTAAGAACAGAACAATCCCTCTCTGACTCTGGCTTAGGAAGGGATGTGGAAAAAACAAGTCTTAAAGAAAGATTCAAGAGAATTTTGTTTCCAAATAATGGATGAGTTAGTCTGCAAACACTGAAAATAAGAACATATGGACAAAAATATAAAGAATGTGCTCGAAGGCATCAGAAAGCTAATAAGGCAGTGAAGAAAATCCAGTAGGAAAAAACACAGAATTGTAAGTAAGCCTGGCATCTAAAGCCATTTTCCCCCAGGTTCATCCGTGCATTGAAGACAATGCAGACATATAAGAAGGTTGAAAAGAACTTTCAACAGATCCCTGGGTTCAGAGAAACAAGAAGTGGAGTTCAGGACTGCCAATGAGAAGGACCCCTAGTAAAAGCCCTAGGCTTTGGGTTGAGACCAGAAAAGAGCTGCACACTTGGAGTACTGAACAGGCAATAAAAACAATGTCCTTTAAAGGGACTAAGCCGTTTTTGAATGATTTTAATTGCTAACTGGAATAAAGTAATGACCACCCACTAGAGGTAATCTCATATATTTTCTGTAGGACGATAACATCATCTTAGACCTCAAATTTCCCCGACAGTTCACCACTCCATCAAAACCAACCAGGCATTCCACAAGACAAGACAATGTGATCACAATCTAAAAGACCAGAGAAACACACTCATAAGGGATCCACATAATAGGATTACCACACAGATTTTTTTTTTTTTTTTTGAGATGGAGTCTTGCTCTGTTGCCCAGGCTGGAGTGCAGTGGCACAATCTTGGCTCACTGCAAGCTCCACCTCCCGGGTTCATGCCATTCTCCTGCCTCAGCCTCCCGTGTAGCTGGGACTACAGGCGCCCACCACCGCACCCGGCTAATTTTTTGTATTTTTAATAGAGACGGGGTTTCACCATGTTAGCCAGGATGGTCTCGATCTCCTGACCTCGTGATCCGCCCATCTTGGCCTCCCAAAGTGCTGGAATTACAGGTGTGAGCCACCGCGCCTGGCCTTACCACATAGATTTTAAAACAATTGTGCCTTACATATTGAAGGAAGTACAAGTCAAGATTACACATTTCAGCAGAGGATTAGAAACTACAAAAGTGAAAAATAGTGAAATCAAAAAGAACTCAATGATTTTAGCAGATTAGACAACTGAGGTGAGATTTTAGCACATTGGAAGATAGGTCAGAAGAAAACAACCAGAATGAAGCAAATTCAGAATGTAGGAGGCACTGGGTGAGGGGTAGGAGTGGGAGAGCCTAGTATGTTTAATTGGATTCTCAGGATAAGTGAGAATGAGATAGAATTAATATGTGAAAAAAGAGTCCCCAAATTCAAGAGATGTTTATAACCTCAAGCAGTATAAATGCAAAAGAAAATGCAGGGGGGTAGCGGTGGAAGGGTGATGACAAAATCCTACATGTAGGCACTTCCCAAGAAAACTGCTGAAAAACCAAAAAGAAAAATGATTAAAGGCAGCTAGGGCAGGCATAATACATTTGAAAAAAGAGAAAAGAGAAAATAAGAATGATAATAGATTCCTCAAAGAAATTTTAAAACTAGAAGATAATTGGTTATCTTTAAAGCGCTAAAATTAAACAACTATCAAAATTCCATAACCAGCAGAAAGATTCTTTTAAAACGGAGTCAAAATAAAGACATTTCCACACAAAAGTAAACTCACTGAACCTGCATTAAAGTATATTCTTCAAGTAGAATGAACATGATCCCAAATGGAAGACTAAAGATGTAGGAAAATGAAGGATGACAGGAACTATAAATAGGTGTGTAAACTGAGTATCAGCAGGTTAGCACTGTAAAAGACAAAACATTTTGTGGAGTTTGAGCTACACAGACCATTAAAATACATGACCACAATAACATCTAAGTCAGGAGGAAGTTAAAGCCCAGAAAGAGGTAACTCCTCTATTAAGAAAGAGGTAACTATACTATATCAGACTTATTTTAATAAGTCCAGGATACATGCTGTGGCCTTTAACAAGAGGACAAGTAGAACAACTTGTAACCACCAAGCTTAAATAGAGAAGAGCAGAATCATTTAAAATACTCTAACAATTCAAAAAAATGAAAGAAGGAACACAGAACAGGCCATCAAATAGAGAGCAGATACCAATATGTAGATTTCAACTCAAACACATATTTACAAATTACATTTAAGAAGCAAATGAGTACTCAGTCTCTATGGCTACCTATTTATTTATGCTACAACTCACTCCAAAAAAGACTTTTAGGAGCATAAACATTTGAGTAGGTAGGAGACTGCCAGGGAGAAACAATAAAGGACATTTTTACTACAGAGAAAACAACATACATAAAGACAAAGAGGTTTAGAGTGGCATGGAGGAACGGTTCAGAGTCTGCAGTTCAAGAAGCATCAGAAGAAACTACAGGAAATGCACCTGGAGAGGCAGCTCAGGACTAGCTGAGGGGAAAGTGGCCTCTACCTGTTAAGGAGTCTGGAATTCACCCTGAAGGGAATGGAGTATCCTTGACAGATTTTAAGCACATAATGACATGGACAGACTTGTATTTTAAAAAGTTCACTCTAGCAACTATATAGACAATCGGAACTGGGAAGAAGCTGTATAGGAAAGACTGGAGATGGGGGGCCGAGCGCGGTGGCTCACACCTGTAATCCTAGCACTTTGGGAGGCTAAAGCGGGCAGATCACGAGGTCAGGAGATCGAGATCATCCTGGCTAACATGGGTGAAACCCCATGTCTACTAAAAATATAAAAAAAATTAGCTGGGCGCGGTGACAGGTGCCTGTAGTCCCAGCTACTTGGAAGGCTCAGGCAAGAGAATGGCATGAATCTGGGAGACGGGGCTTGCAGTGAGCCGAGACTGTGCCACTGCACTCCAGCCTGGGTGACACAGTGAGACTCCGTCAGAAAGAAGACAAGGAAAGGAAAGGACAGGACAGGACAGGACAGGAAAGGAAAGGAAAGACTGGAGATACGTGATTAGCTAGGGACTGGCATAAAAGATGACAAGGGCCTGAACTAACACAGTGACTTTAGGGGTAGACAGCAGAGTACAAACCAGACAAGGAGACTGAATGAATGTCGGGGAAGTTTAGTAAAATACTGCCACATCAATGGGTTAACTGTATAATGAAGAAAAACAGTTGCCATTTAAGTAATTCACATTACTATTGGAGGCAGAGAAGTGTTTGTTTTTAAAAAGTAATGAAATGGGGAATGTCTCTCTGAAGCAGAACAGGCATTTAGAGCTGGCCTGAACAAAACCTGGAAAATCTAAACTGGCTGCTTGGTGAGCAAAGAATTAGAAAAAACATTAATGGCATAGTTTCAATATTTAATGGCATACAGCAGTAGCAGTCTAAGCATTTTAAAAAGTTAAATTTGCTTAGCAAGAGAGGCCTTCTCACGCACTGCCATATACACCAAAGAATAAAATGTAAGAGCAAACACAAATAGCAACTGCCACAGATAACCTATTTTTAGAGAATTCAGATGTTTTTGTGGAGAAAAAACTTGAACTATAAAAATACAGCTTTCAAAAGGTGCCTCGCTCGAAATTTGAGACATGTATTTCAGAGGATTAATATCTAAATATACACGCCAAATAGTTTCATATTCAAAACTCCTAGTATCTTTGCCACAGTTATATTTAGTTGGAATATTTGAATGTGAAGTCCAAAACTAAATGTATCTGCAATAAGTAAATTTTCCTTTTTTGAAGTTTTTATTCTACTAAAACACATGTCATACAAAATCACTCAGACTTTTTAAAGGAAATTACATAATTGACCACAAAGAAAGGAAAGTGAAACAAGTGGTGGAGCCACAGACAAGGCATGGCTAGATCTTCCAAAGAGAAGCATTCCACAGCAGCACCTGTCGGCACCAGCACACTGCTCCCCCTTCAGGGAGCTACAGGCAACAGTTTCTGACTACTGGTTAGAAAGGAAAGAAAAATGCAGCTTATGAGAAACAAAGCAGAAAGAAAGAAAGACAAATTTATACTAATTACAGATGTAAAAAAGTATAAATAATCCTAAAAAATGATAACAGTATCTATATTAGTTACACATTTATTTAGTCACATGACAATACAGTTCACAGGAAATGATGACAGTCTTACTTTTGCAAAGCCATCTCCTTCTGCTGATAGAGTTCATTCAGAATCTCCACTTTCTGCCTCAGGGTTTTGCATTCATCTTCCAGTCCAGCTTTGGCAGCTTGTAGTGAGTTGCGGTCATCTTCCAATTTCTTTATCTGGTCTGTAAAGGATAAAACACTGGAGTTTATTTATTTATTTATTTATTTATTTTGAGATGGAGTCTCACTCTGTCGCCCAGGCTGGAGTGCAGTGGCCGGATCTCAGCTCACTGCAAGCTCCGCCTCCCGGGTTTACGCCATTCTCCTGCCTCAGCCTCCCAAGTAGCTGGGACTACAGGTACCCGCCACCTCGCCCAGCTAGTTTTTTGTATTTTTTAGTAGAGACGGGGTTTCACCGGGTTAGCCAGCATGGTCTCGATCTCCTGACCTTGTGATCCGCCCGTCTCGGCCTCCCAAAGTGCTGGGATTACAGGCTTGAGCCACCGCGCCCGGCCTAAACATTAGAGTTTTATGTGTGTGCACAAGAACTTGAGAACTTGGTTGGGGGCTGGTGCTGAGAGAAATGAGACGAATGAAAGCAGGGAGCCGCTCTTTATCTTTCTAATGCAATTTTGTATCTTTCCAAGATATAGCAATTTCTTCTCAAGAAGCAACCTACCTTCCAGGTTACATTTAGTGGACACGGAGCCTCTTAGTTTAAGTTTTAAAAGTTTTAGATCCTCTTCAACTACCGATATTGCAGTCTGTGTCTAAAAATTGCAGAAAAGAGAAGTATTCATAAAAGTGAGGCATAGTAAAAGCATTCACAGGTAATTATGGGACTCTAAAAAGGATTATACCCGAGAGACATCCATCATCTGCTTAATCTGATTTTTCATCTTCTCATTCTGGTCACCTAAAAAACAAAAGGATTTCTTTCACTGCTTTTTCTTCCCTTGCTTTTTAAATTCGTATTTTCTTGATTTACCCAAAACCAAACAATTGTCATGTTCAAACATTTAAAGAACAAACAAAAACAGAACAGGGTTAGACTGACTTTTAAGATAACTGCAAACTTAAGACTGAAAAAGGGAATTCCCATTTGTACATAAACATGTTATACATGCCATTCTTGAGCAAGAAGAAATATGTGAGATAAAGCTCTTTCTTCTCTCTCATATCTACCTCCATCTGGGCTTAGTGTCTTATTCAGAAACATTCCCTCCTATTCTCCTCCAGAATCTGCTACCAGGTGTGATTTAAACACCCACTACACAAGCAATATCCAACTTGAGAGAGGGCATCTAGAAACACTGTCCTCATCAGTAAACACTGCTACCCTATAGCCTCCACTCTCATGGCCTTAGTTTATGGATCCAACCACCTCGGCACTCTCAAAATCAGTTGTGGTTTTCTTTCATGGCCTTAGTCAGTTTATGCCTCCAACCACCTCAGTACTCTTAAAAACAGTTGTGGGCCTTAAAACCACACAGCTACTGAGATGACAAGTTTTAACATGTTATCTTCATGAAACTGAGAAACAAGTTTCTACTACTGTATGTGTTCAATACTTAGAGGTGTAAGACATGACCAGTGCAGCTCCCATGCACCCTTCTAGTCTCAATGTAAAAACAAAGTCAGTGTTCACTGCATGTTTATTGCTACACCACACCCTAGCAATCCACCTCTGCGCAATGCAAGCAGACATACATTCAAATCCAATGATATGTGTTTACAACTTGAAAGCTTAAGAGGAAATTCAGTCAGGTGAAAAGTAGTACTGGTGCACTTAAAGACAGGAAGGTAAAACGGGTCCATCCTCCTTGGGACTGATCTTACCTCCCACTTCTCCATTTGCTAATTCATCTGAATCATTTCCACCTTTATTTTGACCCTCAGATTCAGATTCACACTCTAACCGATTCAACTGTGTAATGCAATTAGTCAAAGCCTAGAAAAGAAGTAAAAGGGCATTAAGAGTCTTTCCATTTAATTCTACAGATTTCATAATTCACAAGAATTAAGCTTGTATTCATGAGAACGTACTTACATTAATATTATCATCCTTGTGAGTAAGAGCTACTTCCAAATCTTTCTGAGACTTCTCAAATGATTTGATTTGCTCACTGAGCTCAGCATGTAATTTACTCCAGTCTTCGATTTCCTGCTGCAACTGAAAAGTTAAAACACAAGATTCACACAGGTTAGGGCTTTTGTACTGGAGACATTAGGACCAAGTGAATGAGACAAGGAAATAAGGAGCCATGCCTCTCCTTGGCCTATCACTATGTGCTAAGACCTTAGTTAAGCGGGAGGAGAGAGTGGTCCCAACCCTCAGAGCTACAGTGAGAACATCAGAGCTGTCAAGGAAATTGGATCTCGTTTACTGCATCCTTCAGAAAATGGTAGCCAATTCAAATACTTTACTTCCAGAAGGAACAGAAGGGCTCATCCTACTATCTCCCAAGTCCAGACTCCTGCTCATGTAACCTTCCCTTGCCTAGTGAAGCAGTAACTACTCAAAGGAGAGTTATAAAATATCTAACTCTTAGGTCTAAAAAGCCAATCTATTACCCACTGGAGGCTACTCAAGTTAAACAGCAATTGGTGTTTGACACTCTGATAGCCAAAATAAATTGTACAGAACAGAAAATCCAGAACAGATAGAGAATGTATACCTACACTCAATTTTGGAAGCATACTTTAAACTTTGCATATCTAAGAACAGAATCCTGCACATATATTACCTTAAAAATAGATCTGAGAAAAGGCATTAATGAGGTATGATACTGGGTTCTCTATTTTACATGACCTAGGACATGCACTTTCCTTTACCTGCTCTTTTTTCTTCTTAAGCCTAGCATTTTCTTCTTGAACCCGATGACATTCAGACTTCACCTTCTCTTCACTAAGCTTAGCTTCATTAAGTGCAATCTGAACCTAATGCAAAACACTCCTATTAGTGAATTAATTCCAAAGAAAATCAAAAAAAGTTACTTTCCCAGCCCAACATCATGTAGTTTTCATTTTTTGCACATTTTAGCACACATCAAACTTTTGCTCTGCAATCAAACTATAATATAGTATTAATATCCTGCAGGAATTATAGTCAGCTTTACCTCTGAAAATTCTGAGGCATTCATTGAAATAGCATCCTTTAACTTCTCTATAGATTTCTTGTTTTCTGATATCTGCCATGTAAAAACAGAACACAAAATGTATATTAGGATTTCAGTAGAAACACTGGGACATGTACTGAAAAGAAGAAACATCAACAAAGTATGTCCCAGAGCCATCTCCTATGTTTGAAGTAAAAGCAGGTGTTTCAGTTTTGCTCTAGGGAAAAATCAAGAACTTAAAGAGGTAAGGGAAAATAATCGAAGGCATAAATATTTCATGGCATACACAACCTTCCTGGTTAGAATAAAATGTGGTAGATGACCAGACTAAAAGGTGAAAGAAGGGAAACTGAAAAAACTTTTAAGTAAACCAGTTCAAATCAATGTGACTTTTTTTTTTTCTTGTAGCAAGAGAAAAAAAATCCCCAAGGTACTTTAAAAATGCTCTTGCCTAAATTAAAAATGGTAGGACTGGAGTGAAAATAGACAGATCACCCATATAGAAGAATTCTAGATAATTTATGAAGATTCTGGCTCCTCAAGGGGACAGAGCATAACCCTTTTTCACTGTGGGCTGTGTTAGTAACTTCCTTCCAAAGGGTACAATAATGCAAAAAGTTAAAAAAAAAAAAAAAGTAATTTTACAGTGAAGAAATGTGGCAATACTACCCCAGTGAGGTCGTCAAGATTAATAGGGTGTGGGATTTATGGGAACGCTCTCTACTATCTTTGCAACTTTTAGGTCATTCTAAAACTATTCTATTAATAAAGTAAAATGTTTACAGAAAAAAAAGAAGAAAAAAAAAAAAAAACTTTGCAAAACAAAACAAAACACCCAGGACTGTTCAACTGGGTTGTGGTTTCCTAGTTGTTCCACATGTTTCAGAGGGCAGAGCCAAGCAATATGACAATTACCTAGGGTTGAAAACCAAAATACTTCCTAGGCCCATAAGAATAACTTCTTGTGTAAGTACTTAAAATTCCACAAAAATGGACAGAAGTAGGTTCAACTTCCCTGACTCGCACTCTTACTTCACATAACAGCAAGGAAAATAAAGAGTTCAACTCAATCTACAAAAGAGTTCAAAACCCAAATTGTTAGTAACACTTAGCAGCAAAACTCTTACCAAGTCCTGATTCTTGACATTCTGTTCTCTCTCTGACTCTAACATAACACGAAGATTTTTAGCTGCGTCACCCAGAATTTCATTATTTTTTTCAAGTGTCTTGATTTTATCCTACAAAAAAGATATTAAGGTTAGTTATAGTCATTACTTATACTTTTGTTTTAAAATGTAATCCCCAAAATAAGTTTTTACCTTAAATTTAATTGCTTCATCAGAGAGAATCATATTTTGTTTCCTGGTTTCCTGAACATGTTTCTTTGATTCCTTGATCTACATAAAATAAAGCATTCAGAATCCAGAAATACAAAGTATAGTGCTACCAGAACTCAATTTCAAGTGACTGACCTCTTACAGAGGAAAACAGTACTTTACACATATGACTGCTTAAGATCTGGATGGTTTATAGGAATTAATGGAATAATAAATATTATTTAAAAATACCATAGTAACTGAACTATAAGATAGGTGAAAATAATTCAAGCTGGGACCATGGGAAAAAAAAAACAAAAGAATAACTATACCTTCTGTTCATAATTTGATAATTTTTGTACAAGTTCTGTATTTTCTTTCATGATAATCTTCAACTTCTCAGAAATTTGCTGTTCCGTGACTGAAAAAAGAAAAAAATAATGAGATTATGATCACTAAATGAAACTGAATTACCCAATGGATCAGCAGCAAAGACATGTTATCTGGCACTATCAGGAAAAAGAACTTCTTAGCATAACTATTATGGTTTTAAAAAGTAATATGGTTTGGGTCTGTGTCTCCACCAAATCTCCTGTCAAATTATAACCCCCAGTGTCCCCAGTGTTCAGGTGGGGCCTGGTGGAAGCTGATTGGATCACAGGGGTAGATTTCTCACAAGTGGTTTATCACCATCCCTGTAGTGCTGTTCTATGATGGTGACTGAGTTCTTGTGGAATCTGGTTGTTTAAAAGTATGCAGCAACTCCCCGCTAACTCTCTCTCGCTTCTGCTCCCACCAAGTAAGAAGGCCTGCTCTCGCTTTGCCTTCTGCTATGAGTAAAAGCTCCCTGAGGCCTCCTCAGAAGCAGATGCCGCTATACTTCCTATAGCCTGCAGAAACATGAGCTAATTAAACTTCTTATAAATTACCCAGTTTCAGGTATTTCTTTTTTTGAGACAGGGTCTTGCTCTGTTGCCCAGGCTGGAGTTCAGTGGTACAATCTCAGCTCACTGCAAACTCCACCTCCCAAGCTCAGGCAATCCTCCTGCCTCAGCATTCTGAGTAGCTGGGACTACACGTGTGTGTCACCACACCCAGCTAACTTTTGTATTTTTTTTAAATAGAGACGGGGTTTCTCCATGTTGCCCAGGCTGGTCTTGAACTCCTGAGCTCAAGCAATCCTCCTGCTTTGGCCTCCCAAAGTGTTGGGATTACAGGCGCGAACCACCACACCTGGCCTTGGGTATTTCTTTATAGCAGTGTGAAAACAGATTAATACAAAAAGCAATCTGCTAACAAGAATAAGGATGTAAAAATACTGTTACAATTTAAGAAAAATATAATAAGAACCTTTATTTCAATGAGAGTCTAATTTATTTCCAAGATAGAAAATACAGTAAAATGTTATAGCTCAGTATTCCTCCCTGCATGAAGCATCTTTCTTCTCAGAAAATGGCATCACTTCAAATATGCCATTTGCAAAGAGAAATAGAAAACGCAGTCATGCTGATTTACATTTCTAGTCCTCAAATTATCTACTTAAATAAATATTTAATGTACTGACTAAATTATTAGCAAAGAAACACTGGTCACATGGAATAAATTGGTACTACATCAACATTTAAGGTCAATCTGCCTCAAATTAATTATCTTCTCCCTATTCCCGCAATTTGTTCCTCTTCATCTCCTATCTCAGTTGGTAGCATCACCATTTCCTCTATCATCCAACCTGGCAACCTAGGAATAGTAAAGTTTTCAGAAGCTATAAGTCAGTCAGATATCAGAAGTCACTAAAACTACTTATATATAAAACCCATATCAAACAACAATACAGAGGGAATAGTACAAAATAAGCCAAAAGATTTACCTTGATATACTCTACTCTTCACCTAGAAAAGAAAAATAAAATTAAATTTGATGTCAAACATTTTATTAACAGATGTACATAGTTTCTAATACAACTGTCAGAATTGTAACCAAATGAGAATTTAATAATAGTTTGGTTTAGCATGAATCCACAAGATGAAAAAAATTTAAAAAGGTTAAAAAGCATTTCAAACGTAACCAGTAGTGATATGCTGTAGTCTGACAGATACAGCACTAAGGTAAATACCTTACTCTGCAGCTAAAGAGAGGTTTATATATCTAAATGAGCACCAGTTTTATGAAATGAGCACTTAGCTTGAATAACAGAAATGGCTAATATTTTTGTAATAAATATATTAACATTTTATTTATTCATTTTATTTATTTGACAACTCCAAATAGCCAGAATGAAATCTAAAAACAATGACTACTCAAAAAGACTCTGAGGAAACAAAATTAAAGGTATGATCTTCGTACTAAGACACACACCTCTTTTGCTCACCAGAAAACATCTCAGAAATCCTATTCAAAATTGACTAGTAGCTGAATTTAAAAATAATTCTATTAATACTAAACTAGATCATTTGATTTTCCTAGACCACTAAAAACAGTGCTCATAAACCTGACAGGGAAGGGAAGACTGCTAGAGGAAAATGCATAAGCAACAAGAGAAATGACAACTATCATCTTCCTGAAAGGGCAAAACCCAAATCATCCCCTAAAGACAGCACTAAATTATAGGACAAAAAAATCTAAGCAGTAACTAATTTTTTAAAAAGAATATTACTAAATTTCTTTGCAACCCAGAACATATTTTCCCTTTCAAATATTATGTTGATGAGATGCTAACACCAGTCCACAAATCATCCATAATCTCAGCAAATATACTGTTTACATAATATACTGTATTACTGTATACAGTAATTAATATACTGTATTACTATATACAGTAATTAATATACTGCATACATAATAATTACAGTATTTAAATCTCACTTATAATACTGTTGTTATAGGAATATGCATTCAGAAAATTCCAACATGGAAAGAAATTACTCTCTCTCTAATGTCATGGCCTTGCTAATGAGAGTTAACTTCCTCTGCTCCATTTCACCCAAACTAACAGGCAAGTAGAGACCAAGGTACCAAAAGTCAAGTGCTGAGGAACGACAGTTAGGACACAGAGCCTATACAACTTTCTAAAAAATGAAAACGGCGTCAGAATTTTTTTTATTAACAAATAGGAGAAACGAGAGGGAAATGTAAAATGTTTTCACCTTTTCCCCTTCCATTTACCCTTTGATTCTACCTTTTTATCTGAGAAAAAGCACCACGAGGTTAGAGAAGGCCTCACAGGAGAAAAGACCCTTCTTTTTAAGTAATTTTACAATCAATTGTGAAAGCAGAGAAAATTTATTAATGATGATATATGTGATATAATTATGAAATCAGAAAAAGAGTACTCAGTTTTAGAAAGATTGGCACACAATAATTTTGGCCATTTTAACTGTGAAGTTTCAATAGGAAGCTTTTCATCTGCAAAGTTCATTTACACAAAATAATCTTCTCCCAATTATGTTAAATAACTATGAAGCCGAATGTTACATAGTATAAATCATAAGTATGTACAAGTATGAGTATATACACTTATACATACATATGTTTAAGTCTGAAAGACAAATTCTGCACAGAAGATAAAAAAATTAATGGTGTGTCTTTACACAGGATATAATTTGTATTTCCAAATAAAAAGACATTTTCTGAGTAAAACAGTACATGATCAAATCAGAAAATCTGGGAAATACACATTTTTTAAAAACTGAAAACTTACCTCATCTCCTAGATATAAGAATTTTTATCATTTTGTTGTATTTCCTTGCAGCATTTATTTTCTGTGTGTATGCTGATGTAATATACAGTTTATACCTTAAAGTCTTGGTTTCTACTTTTCTTCTACTTCATGTTAAATTGTGAGTATTTGTTGTGCCCCTATGTCTTTGAATTATATCAAGCAGCCTAATATCTCATTATATGAACATACAATAATTTAACAACTTTCCCACTGTGAATCACAGTAGGTTGTGTTAAAGTTTTCACTCTAATAAATACTGTTCTGCTGAACGCTCTTATGTAAGATATTTAAAACTTTTTTTTTGAGACAGAGTCTCATTTTGCCGCCTAGGCTACAGTGCAGTGGTATGATCTGCCTCCCCGCTTCAAGCGATTCTCCTGCCTCAGCCACCCGAGTAGCTGGGATTACAGGCTCTCGCCATCACCCCCGGCTAATTTTTGTATTTTTAGTAGGGAAGGGGTTTCGTCTTGTTGGCCAGGCTGGTCTCGAACTCCTGGCCTTATGTGATCCACCCGCCTCTGCCTCCCAAAGTGCTGGTATTACAGGTGTGAGCCACCACACCTGGCCATGTAAGATATTTAACGCATGATCGGTTATTTCTTTCTTTGTATTTTGTTTTTTTTTTGAGATGGAGGGGTCTCACTCTGTCACCCAGGCTGGAGTGCAGTGACGCATTTCGGCTCACTGCAGCCTCCGCCTCCCAGGTTCAAGCGATTCTCTGCCTCAGCATCCCGAGTAGCTGGGATTACAGGCATGTGCCACAACACCCCACTAATTTTTGTATTTTTAGTAGAGATGGGGTTTCGTTATGTTGGCTTGGCTGGTCTCAAACTCCTGGCCTCAAGTGATCCGCCTGCCTCAGACTCCCAAAGTGCTGAGATTACAGGCGTTGAGCCACTGTGTCTGGCTGACTGGTTATTTCTTTAGGATTGATTACTAGACATGATATTAATACAATATAAAAGGATATAACCATTTTTAAGGCTTATGATACACATCATGAAACTATTTTTCAGGATGGCTCTAAGAATTCCTAGTTCGACTAACAGTGTACATATGACCTACCTAATTCTTTCTTTTTTTCCTTTGTGAGTTGAAATAAAGACCCAACTAATTCTTAATATTTAGATTTTGATATAAGGGACATATAAACTGAAGTTTTCCCGTTGAGATTATACGTGTTGTCTTATCCACTTAAGAATTTACCAACACAAAAATTATACTAAATTATTGTACAAGGTTAGCTTGAATTAAAAGCATTAATATCTGTTCACATTAGAAACTGAAAAAGAAACAAAAGGGCTGTGATTATAAAACCATACTTGAATGTATGAGTTAAAGTATGCATTAATTTACTCACAACAAGGACAGTTCTCCAGAAGAAAACGGCAAACGAAACAATTCCCAAGAAGGCAGTGATAAGCACAGGTTTCCATGGCAATCCATAAAAATCAGGCCCAGGCTGAACATCATCAGGCAATGTAGCAACTAGCTGAAATGGGCATGTTAGAAATAATGAGAAACCTTAAAGAAGCTTACCATAAAGCAGTCACAAAGACTCATTCATAGAAATTCTAAACCAACTCTATCAGATACCTATCCCCTCAAAAATCTTCAGTAGCTCTCACTGCTTCAAGAAAAATAGGATACTGGGAGTCTCACACTTATTGTTTGGCTTGTTGTGTTCTGAAGTACTATGAGTCTGAATGTCTTTAGGTTGGGCATATATTTCTAGTTTACAATAGGCCCTGATACAATATGTTATCTAAAACATGGCTGGAATCTCTCTGCATCACACTTTTCTCTTGAATAGGTTGTTTTTTATTGCTGAAAAAACCACATAAGATATAAAACCTTATATATATAAGTAACCAACTTTTTATGGCTGCAAATAAAACCAGTATGATGATAATGAATACCACAAATAATGTTATTCCTCTAAGATTTAAAATCTTAAATCGACTCTTACATAAACAAAGAATAAATGCTAAGTTTGGATAGCTCCTGATAACTGATCCAGATAAACCGCTTTGAATTTAGTGCCTTAATTCTAAATGTTTCCTTGAAAACAGTGCATTAAACACCTGTCTGATCTATGCTGTTTTCACAGCCCTCTACAAGTACACTATCATACTGGTCCCATCCCCCAACAGAGCCGGGGGTTATGCGGAAAAGACCTGTAAGCCCTCTGTGTTTTGATCGTGACTTCACACCAGAACATAAAGTGCTGTAACTTCGTAAGTACGCAAAAAAAAAAAAAAAAAAAAAAAAAAGGACGAAATCTTCTCAAACACACTCCCATCTGCCTCCCTAAACAGCATAGAAACGTCTTGCTTTCCTCGGATCTGACACACTCCATTTCTCCTTTGCACAATCAATGCACCCACTCTGCTCAGAACTCTTCCACCCGCCTGTGACAGCTTGAGTCCCTCCCTGGGAATGGGGACTGTCACCTCCAGCAGCTTGGCTATGAAGGCTGCGTAGAGCACCGACAGGGGTCCCAGAAGTTCCGGGTCCCCCGGGGTAGCGGTGATAGAAGGCACAGTGGCAGGTACTGAGTCCATTGTGTAGAACAGCTGAATGCAAGCGACAATTCCCAGGGGAATGGCACTGGGTCCCCTGTCTTTCAGAGCTTCCTCCTGCGGAAAGGCCCCAGTTCAGGGGGCGGACTCTGGGATTGAACTTCGCCTTCCACCGCTGCCGGCACTTTCGCTTTATGCCGCCTATAAAGCACGTCATCAGCCACGGCCCCTGGCGCATGTCAAGGCACCAAAAGAGTTGGCCCGCGAGGGCGGGACCAGAGCAGACGGAACCAACTGTCGAGGGGGCGGGGGAGAAGAGCGAATGGGAGCGGAAGACTTCAAGTAAAGGGAGGCGGAAGTGACTGGCGCTTCCGCCAGGAACCTGCGACTTACAGAGCCCCGGAGTAAGGAGGCAGGCATCTACGTAGAGGAGGATTGTGGGCAGCAGCTGAGGAAAAGGAGAAAGGCAGGCCTCTCGTGCCGGCCCGGAGCTGACCCTTCCTGTCACAGCGTGGAAGGACCACCGCTCAGATGGGGCGCCGCTGCCGTGCGCGGGCTTTCTTCCCTGCCTACTCAGTCCTCCGCTTAGCGTTCCGCCTGCTGACCTCCATTGCACTCGCTGTCTCACATTCTTGCCGACACTCTTATTAAAAAGCCTTACCCAGGAGTCATGTCATCGTGTCACCCCCATGCACAGGGATTCAGTTATGGGTCCCACTTTTTTTTGTTACATGGTGATTGCGGGAAAGGGGAGGGAGTCCCCCTATGTTGCCCAGGCTGGACTCAAACTCCGGGGCTCAAGCCATCTGAGAAGCTGGGACTACAAGTGGCCGGCCACATCTTAAGGTTGGGGTTACATGACTTGTGGAAAAGGACAAGGATAATGAATAGTATGGAAATCACGTTCCAAAAGTTGAAGAAACCGGGGACATTTAATCTGTGGGGGAAAAAATGGTATCTGTAGATAAAAATACCATTTTTAGACCTTTAAAGGTTATCTTCGAGTTGAATATAAAGTCAACTCAGAGGAACAATCAAGCAAGAACAAGCAGGAAAACCCTAAGAAAGAAGATATATGAAGGGTGTGGTACAAGAGGAGGGCAGGATCTGTAATAACAGTATGGTACTGGCCCAAGAACGCAGACCCACCACGGGGCAGAATAAAAAATACAGAAATAGACCCCACTGCACTGGAAATTTGGGATACAGCAAGTCCGCCGGTTAACAGACTTTTTAATAAGTGGTATTACATATCTAGATAACAATATGGAAAATAAAACTGGATCTTTTTCTCTCATTGTTCTTAAATTCCAAGTTAATCAGAAACCTGAATGTAAAAAATGAAAACAAATGGTTGAAAAAATTGAGTGACTGTCTCTGTGTATTATGTGAGTGGGCAAGACCTTCCTAATTATGTATCAAAATCCGAAAGCAACAAAGAAAATGATTTGTAAATTTGATTACTGAAAAACAAAACAAAAAAAAACGCCCAACCCCATCCACAAAAATTGCAAAATAATCCAAGTTTGGCAATGGTAACCTAAGAAAAAATATTTGTAACACATTATGAAGGATTAATATTCCTAAAATATAAAGTGCTTTACAAATAAGAAGATAGCCACCAGCAAACCTATAGAAAAATGGGCTAAGGTAATGAACAGATCCCAGGAAAAGAAATGCAAATAATTTAAAAACATATGGAAACATGCTCTGCCTCACTCATAATACAAGAAATACAAATTGAACCTACAATGAAATATGATTTCTCACTTATCTTGGCAAGATCCAAACATTTGACAACACACTCTATAGGTGAGAGAATGTGGAGGAAGCAGGCACTCTCATTCTATGCTGATCTCTATATAAAATCATACAACCCCTATGATTTGGCAACGTCTCCAGAAATAACTTGTATATTTATCTACTGACTCAACAATCCCACTTCTAAAGATCTATCTCAAAGATACTGGGGATATAACAACAAATGCTGAAAAAATATATGCACAAAACTATATTATTCCAGCATTACTTATAACAAAAGACTAGAAACAACCAAAATGGCCATGAATGAAAGACATATTGAATACAACAAAGTATACTGTGAAGCTATAAAAGAAAGTAATTTTATATACTGCTAGGGCATGCTGTCAGAATACATTTTTTTAAAGGTAGAGAAAAGTAGACTACTACTTTTATCTAAGAAAGTCAGGATTTTTTTCTTTACAGCTTTGAGGGAAATATGACATTCAATACGTTATATGTTTTTAAAGTACACAGTTTGATCAGTTTTGCATATGAATATGCCTATGAAACCATCATCACAACCAACATAGTGAACCTCCCAAAGTCTCCTTATTCCCTTGGTAATCTCCTGCCCCTTTTCACCCCTCCCTGCCCCTGAAACAGAATTTCTGTCATAAGAGATTAGTTTGCATTTCCTAAAGTTTTATATGTATGTAATAATGCACAGTTATATTTTCTCTGGCTTTTCTCAGCATAATATGAAATTCACCCACATTGCTGCACATATCCATAATGGTTCATTTGTTTTTATTGCTGAGTAGCATTTCATTGTATGGGTGTGCCATAATCTGTTTATCTGTCATCTATGGATGGATATTTGATTTTTTCCAGTTTTAGGCTTTTATAAATAAAACTTCCAAGACTATCATGGAGATGAATCTGCCACAGCTAGAAATGCTCAAGAACCAGCTGGACCAGGAAGTGGAGTTCTTGTCCACGTCCTTTGCCCAGCTCAAAGTGGTACAGACCAAGTATGCAGAAGCCAAGGACTGTCTGAACATGCTGAGTAAGAGCAATAAGGGAAGAGAATTACTCATCCCACTGATGAGTTCGATGTATGTCCCTGAGTAGCTGCATGATGTGGAACATGTGCTCATCGATGTAGGAACTGGGTACTATGTAGAAAAGATAGCTGAGGATGCCAAGGACTTCTTCAAGAGGAAGACAGACTTCCTAACCAAGCAGATGGAGAAAATCCACCAGCTCTCCAGGAGCACGCCATGAAACCGGCTGTCATAGAAATGATGAGCCAGACGATTCAGCAGCCCAGAGCCCTGGGGGCACCTCAGGCTACTGCTAAGACCTGAGAGTTCGTTGCAGAAATGGGGCAGAGGGATACCCCTTGGGCGTGGCTTCCTGATGCCAGGGAGGGGAAAGGTCTTATGTTTAATGCCAATAAATGTGCCAGCTGGGCAGAAAAAATAAACTGTCAAAAATATTGATCTACAAGTCTTTCTATGCATGTATAATTTATTTTCACTTGGGTAAATGTGTCTCAGGTAAATGTTTAGGAGAAGAATAGCTGGATCATATGCCCAGTGTAGGTATACCTTCTTAAGAAACTGACAAGCTGTTTTCCAAGATAGCTGTACCACTTCACATCCCCACCAGCAGTGTATGATACTTCCATTTCCTCCACATCTTCTCCAACACATGGCATAATCAGTTTTTTAAATTTTAGCCAATATAATAAGTGTGTAGTGGTAACTCATTCTGCTTTAAATTGGCATTTCCCTGATAATTATGCTGAACATTTTTTAATGTGCTTACTTGCAATTGGTATATCTTCCTTGGTAAAGTGTAATTTTACTGCATTACATTTTTTTAGATGAATGTTGAAGTTCTTTATGTATTCTGAATACAAATATTTTATCAGATAGATGCTTTGCAGTGACTCTTTCCCAGTCTGTAGTTTGTATAACAGTGTTTTTTAAAGAGATGTTTTTATTTTGATTAAATCCAAATTATCAAATTTCTCCTTTATGAATCATACTTTTGATGTCAACTGTAAGAAATCTTTGCCTAATCCAAGTTCAACAAAATTTTTCTCTTAATTTTTCCTAGAAGTTTTATAGTTTTAGGGTTTACATTTAAGTCTATGATCCACTTTGAGTTAATTTATGTACATGATGTGAGGTATGGATCCATTTTTTGTATATAAATATCTAATAGTTTGGGTACCATTTGTTGAAAAGACTTTCCTTTCTTCATTTAATTGTCTTTCCACTTTTGTTAGAAGTCCATTGTCATACATGTATAAATCTATTTCTGGATTTTCTATTTTGTTCCAATGGTCTATTCATCTGCTGTCTTAATTACTAGAGCTTTATAATAAGTCTTGAAATTACATGATGCTTGGGCTATTCGAGGTCCTCTGCATTTTCCAAATGAATTGTAGAATCAGCTTGTCATTTAAAAAACATCCTTCTGAGATTTTAATTGGGGTTATATTAATGCAAGTGATCAAATTGGGGAGCTTAACAATATAGTCTTCTGACTCATAAACAAGGTCTATCTCTCCATGTATTTAGGTCTTCTTTAATTTCTATCAGCAATATTTTATAGTTTTCAATGCATATGTCTTACACACTTTTTGCCACATTTATCCGTAAGTACTCCATATTTTTGATAGTACTGTACATGGAATTTAACTTCAATTTCCAATTGTTCATTGCTAGTACATATAAATACAATTGCTTTTAGATGTAAATCTTTATCTAGCAACCTTACTAAACTTAGTACTTATCTGGCAGATTTTTTCTACATCCCACCAGATTTTATGCATGTTGTCTGCAAAAAAAGACAATTTTACTTCTTTCCCAATCTGGACGCATTTTATTTCTTTTTCTTGCCTTAGTGCACTGGCTATTGCCTTACAACACTGAACAGATGTAATGAGAGTAGACATTCTTGTTTCACTTCTGGATCTTGAGGGGAAGACATTCCATCGTTCACTATTAAGTATGATGTTCATTTTAAATCTTTCATAAAAGTGATTTAAGTTCCCTTCCATTACTAGTTTGTTGATAAATTTATTGTTTTTTAAATTACACAGTAATCAATTTTAGATTTTTTTCAAAGTGGTTTTCTGTGTTTACTGAACTGAACATATGGATTGTCTTTTTAAAGTTTGTCATTATGGTTAATTACACTGATTTTCAAATGTTAAAGAAACTTTGTATTCTCGGTATAAATCCTATTTGGTCATATTTTCTTTTTTATATATTGTTGGATTTGATTTGCTACAATTTTTGTTTAGAGTTTTTGTACCACTGTTGATGAGAGATACTGGTCTGTGGTTTTCTTTCTTTCTTGTCTTTGTCTTTGCCTTGTTTTGATATCCTGGTAACATTAGCTTCATACAATGAGCTGAGAAGTATTTTCTGCTCTTCAGTTTAATAGATGAGTTTGT